CACTACAATTCAGGTAGAATCGTGACAAAACAAGCGGATCTTTAGTCTTTTTATAAACTTTAAAACAATCATATTGCTTTCCTATATAAAAGCTAAATCTTTTTTTTTTTTTTCAAAATCATTTTCTTCTCTTTATCTCTATTCTTTAGCATCTCTCTCTAGCTAGAATCAATTAGGAGCCATCGAATTTAGCAAGTAGCATTGAAAACTGAGGAAATTATCAGAAGTTGGCCGAAATTTTTCGTCAGATTCTGCAATTTTCAAAAAATTCTTAAAAAAAAGAAAAAATTCAACAATTTCCCCTTTGATTATGACTTCTTAAACACATTTAACCAAGAATCTTTCCTAGAAAAAACTATTCAAATCCTCCAAAACTTAAAAAAAAAAAAAAGCTACATGAAATCTCCTCTTAAAAAAATTGCTATCCAACCTTCTAACTATTTTGTGCTTCTATGATTGCTACCTAATTGTTGATATTGTGTCTGTTCTTTTTTGTGTCGATTATCAGTCTATTTATAAGGCTAGAATTTTTTAGATTTGATAAGGATTATAAGTTTGATAAAGATTAAATTTTATGATAAAACACTTTAAATCAGCTTAATCTAATCCCCTAAAAATGCCTTGGATTATCTAAAAAGGAAATATATACATTCTTAGCCGAATCATTTTCAATTTTCCTCATTTTATTTTCTCCTTTTTTTTTAGTTTTTTCAGATAAGCAAAAATAATAAAATAAGCGAGATAAAGTAAAAATGAAGATAAGAATAAAAATAAAATAAAATAACAATAAAAATAAAATAAAGATAAATGAATTAAATAAAGAATAAAAATAAAGACAAATACAAAATTAAATATAAAATAAATATAAAGATAAAGATAGTAAATAAATAAAAAATATAAAATTAGATTTTTGAGCTCAAAACTAAGTTAGACCCAATTGGTTTAGATTCCGGACTAAATAGACTATCTATAATGATAATACAGGGAGGGATCACAGCTTGCAATTGCAAACTTGTGTTGATTTAGTGAACAATTGTCCTTATCTTTCTTTTTTGTTGCTAAGAGATTTTAAGCTACATGACCATTTCCTCCTTTTGAGATTGTTTGATTTCAAGTATGATATGATAATTATTTTTGTTGATTTTAATATGGTTTTACAAAGTGTATTGAGGGGTTATAATGGCAAGTTTATGTCTTATGGTCAAATAGGCACTAGAAAAACTTTTATGCTTGACCGATTTGGTAAAGATGATGCATCTGCACGTGGTATTATGGTTAGAACTCTAGAGGACATAGTGGCCCATATATCCATTACTTTTGACACTGTGGAAGTCTTTTATTTGCAAGTAAGATTCATATTGCATTCTTTTGTTTCTTGGGGAATGTTAGTTTATAGGCACCTATGTTATGGTTCTAAATTAAATTAAGTACTATTGAGGTGTGTTTTCTTCCACAACCAATAGCTATATATTAGTTTGAGATATATTTATTATTGGATGCTTTATCTCATCGATAGGCATGGTTTTGTTTGTTGTTTTGACCTTTGAGTTGAATTTTAGCAGGATGAAAGTTATGCAGAAGGAAAACAAAAAAAATATGGTGATATAGGAATTTATATGTAACTAGGAATTTGTATTCGCATCAGAACTCAAACATAATTGTATGGTATATGTAACTATAAATTTTGAATTGATATTGTTGTGGTTTGTACGAATCTGTTGATTTTAAAATTATTTAGAAAATTTTGGGGTGAATGTTGAAGTTAAGGTTTGATCATTTTTTTTTTTTGTTTTAACTTTTGAGTCATTCTGATTTTTTTGCAGATTTGGGATTTGGTTTAGATTATGGGTTTTGCATTTTTGTTTTATGTATTTTTTCACTTCTCTTTCCCTTTTGTATGCATTTATTTCTGATGAAGCGAATGTAAGGCACATATTTCATTTTCAAGCTTAGAATTCTGATGCGCCGTTGAGAAAAGATTTAATGTACCATCTGATATATTTAATACAGCATCACCAGCTAACTTGTCCTTAGGAGAATTAATATTTGAATCAAGAGTTATCAAACACTTGGCAGAAGATGCACCAGCAGAGATTATTTGTTTCTGAGAATCAGGATGAGCTTTAAATAAGGCCAAAAAGTTGATCTCTTTCTAAATGCTCTGACACATCTATAGCTCTGGCACTTGGTTTCGTTACAGTTGAGCCCTAGGATCCATTTTCTGCACCTGGATGATCAAGTTGCAATGAATTATTTTCTTTTATGATCAAACTTGGGGGTAATCCAGAGTGCATATGGCCATCATTTATTTTCCCAGCATCTATATTCAACTGAAAACAACTTTTCATTTGTTTACTACTTTCCCAGTGCCCAAGCTCCTTCTGAAAAGTCTGAGACTTGCTGTGGGACATGTTCCAGCATATAGAAACCTCGCTTTTCAATTTCTCAATCTACTTTGATGGTTTGAATTTAAATCAACGTAAAGGTTAATCCCCTCTTCTAAACTGACATGAAACTGAAAAGACGAAGGAGAAATAGTTAGAGCATTTATGAAGGAAAGACATTCTCATTAAAACATGCAGCAACATTTGTGTCTTTATGTTCAATTTGGGGCATATCATTCATCCTTCTGTCTCTTGTGAGACTCAAATAATTTATATTGAAGCATAGTGTTGGGAACTCTTTATTCTTAAAATCATTTTCATTACACTGAGTAACAAAACGAGACTGTGGTCTTTGCTGGGAAAAAATAAAACCACCACCATAACCATCTAGGATTAACAGATCGTTAGATACAAGTTTTAGTTCTTGAAAGCAAACAATTCAGCATTGAAGGTTCAAGCATCCACATCTTTCTGCCAGCATACATTTTACATAAATGCAATCACAGATTAAAGATATTTATGCGTTCATTCTTTTGCTGGTAGTCACAAACTACAATAACAAGTCAATTTTTTGTCCTTTTATCATTATGTCATAATTACTTCAAATAATTATTTTCTTATTTGGAATTAAACATTCGCTACTGCAAATATGAAGAATTGATATTATCGTGTTTTGTAAGAATGATCTTGAAGTCATTTTGGAATTTTTGGGGTGATCGTTGAAATTAAAGTTTCATCATTCCTTTTTTGACTTTGTTTTGGCATTTCAGTCATTTTGATTTTTTTGCTGATTTGGGATTAGATTTATATTCTGGGTTTTGCATTTTTGTTTTATGTATTTTTTCACTTCTCTTTCCCTTTTGCATGCATTGATCATTTCTGATAAAGCGAATGTGAGGTTACCCCTTTTGCATGCATTCATTTCCTTCATATAGACGAATCAAATTATTTTGTAACATACGAAAAAAACAAAAGCAAAGGCAAAGATCACCAAAACGACAAATCCTTTAGCTTATTCTTCTCTTCATCTTCGTAGCTGTAATCTCTCTCTTTTTTCACCCAATTGGAGCTACTGAATTAAGAGTTTCTCTATTGTGTTTTTTTTTATCCTCATGTTTAAAATGCTGGAATCTTGAAAAACCTTGGCAAAATAAAGATTGAACTTTTACCCATTTGTAATGAAAACCCTTTTTTTTTTTGTTATCTGGGTTTTCTTTATTTTTGTTTACTAATTGAGTTTTTCTTTTTTTTTTGGATTCAGTGCTAGATGGCTTTGTTGCGAGTCCTTCAGAGCCTTTGGCTCCAAAAACTCCAATTTTGGAACAAGAAAAGCCTTTCCAGCTTGATTATACGAAAGATGATTTACTTTCCACTGAGTTTGGAGCAAGCAAGGGTCAAAAGTAAAAAACTTTTCCTATGCCATTGTCTGAAGGGAACACTTTTGGTGGTTCTATGAACTCTGTAGAAGGTAAACTAGTTGGTAAGGAGTCAAGTGATTTTGTTCCTGAGGCTGTTGATGTTGGGGTGGCAGAATGCAGTAAGATGAAAGGAGAAGTTAAAGGAAGTGTCAAAGTACAGAAAGATGTAGTTTTTCTTTACTTTGAATCTCATTCTCAATTTTTTTTTTTAATTTAAAACTTATGAAACTTGGGTAGTTTTTAGGTCTTTTAGTGCTCATTGGTTGTTGTTTTTCACAGCAGTTGAAGGAGGATCAGAAGCTAACTCGACTACTTTGAAGAAAACATATTCTTTCGAATACGTGGATTCGCTGAAAAATAAAAAACCAGTTAGTCAATCATAGTACATAACTAAATTCTTTAAAATCCTTACACTTGTGGGTAGGGTTCAATATGAGCATCAAGAATACATGAGTTGAGTAATGGTTATTTTAAAGTTCAAAGAAGTGCTGACTTTTATTGCTTTTTTAATATTGGAAGGCATCTGTTCTTGTCTTTTTTTTTTTTTTTTTTAATCCAGGAAATTCATGCCGTATCACATCTTACACTGTAGTTTCTACCATGATGAGAGAAATTTTTATCAGAAATTTTAGATAATGGAAAAAGTGAAATGTCAGTTTTTATTGTTAGGAATTGCCTTTTATACCTCAAATATCTTGAATTATTCAATTCTAGAGTTTCTCCCTTTGCTTCTTAGTCTTCAGAGTCATCTTGAAAGAATTTTTGATTGACTTTTAAATGACTTAATCACTGTTTTACAGGTACATCTGAATCTCACTGATCACACAGACAGAGAGGGTTGGGTCCAGTTGAGATCAGGTTATCACTAATGCTTTGTTTGTGCCTGAGCTCCACGAAGATATTTTCTTTCAGGCCATGCCCTTATCTGCCTACCCTCTCTATTTCTTTAATTGAATTTTCGGATGTTGAAAGGCTGTGTGATGAAGAGTAGATATGAAAAATAGTACATAATTTTTTTTTTATTTTTTAAATTAAAATTAAATAACAGTTATATAATTTTATTTTACTCTCACAGTAAAGCACGAGTTTGAAATTTAGTTTATATTATTTATAAGTATTATTATATTTTATTATATTTCCTTTTCAAATTTTAAGCCATTTACATAATGGGAAAATAATTAATATCAGCTCCTAAAAGAAAAAATCACCGTGTCATACTTAATCATATCTCCAGAAAACAATGTTGAAAGGGTCAACAGTAAAAAGATTAAAACCAAAGGGCAAATCTGGCAATTCTGGTAGATGATTTTCTTCGACTGTTTTTACATCTGAAGGCAGTCACCAAAACAATCCGAGGACAAAAAGCTTGAAAGCTTTTCAGTTTTTTCCCAAGTGAAAGTGATCTCACGATTTACTGCGCTCTCCAGATTTTTCCTCTTTAACTCTCTCTTTTCCCTCATTTTCTAGCTAGCCAAACACGCCCATCAATCACCAGATAGAGAGAGGGAGAAAGGATTGAAAGATCAGACCTTTTTGGTCTCTGAAAAAAGGCGATGGCTTGGAGACGTCTCATCGTTCAGGTTACTTTCCCTCTCTCTTTTAAGCTTCATTTTACCTAGCTCATGATATGCCTTTTCTTTTTGCTATGTCTTTTTTATTTATATATTGGATTTCTATGATATGAAGTTCTGAAATTTGGGGATTGTGGAAACCCTAATTTTGGATTAGCTTGAAGGTGTCGCATTTAACATTTAAATCTGAGCTAGGTATTACTAGAGTAGATAATTAATAGAGTATTGGAATTGAAATTTGGAATCTTCTATTTTAATTTTCCTTTGGACGTAACAAAAATACTCATTTGCTTAAGCTGACTGGGACTTTTATTGGCACTAAAAGTTTCAGTATTTTAAGGGATTTCAATTTTTATTTTATCAATATGAGTATTTGTAAATGTAGTTTTGCATGAGGTCTTGTTAAATGTAGTTGTAAATTTTGCACTAATTTTGATTGGTGCAAGGCTTAGTTAATATTTTGTGTGAGTTATTCTTGCTTGCTAAAGAGTAATTTGCAAGTTAGACATAGATTTGAATTTTCATTCTTTAGATAAACAAGTAAGTTTCATCTTCATCTTAAAACAGGTTTCAAAACAGCAACAAGAGTTGGGACAATTCGGAAACCTGTTTTGTAGAACTCATCTTTCTGGTATGTGTGTATGTTTGATCGAAGTTTTTATATACTGTCATTAACTTTATAGTTTTATTCTTTTTTCTCAGGAAAATACTGGTTTATTATCCCTTTCATTGTTAGCTTTCCTTGTTCTAAACTAAAAAACTATCTTGCCTAAGCTGAAATCTTGTTGGAGCGCAGGTAATAGGCTTTTCAGTGGCCAACAGAGGTTTAAGTCAAGCTATGTAGGTAGTTTAGCTCGCAGAGTTCGAGATGCAGAAGAAGCTAGTGAAGCTGCTCATTTAAGAGAACTTTACCATAGAAATGATCCTGAAGCAGTGATACGGCTATTTGAAAGCCAGCCATCATTACATTCTAATCGTTCTGCACTTTCTGAATACGTTAAAGCATTAGTCAAAGTTGACAGGCTGGATGAAAGTGAGCTACTTAAGACATTACAAAAAGGTGAGGGGTCTTGCTATGTTGCATATTTAAATTCTTTTAAAATGTTAGTTTTGCAATATTTTTGTGTTTTTCACTTTACTGGAGAAATCTTTGAACTTAGTTTCTAATTTGATAGTGCTCATAAATTCTCCGTTAAATATTATTAGGCCATTTCTTTCTTAATCTTTGTTTACCAAGAGATTATGCAAAATTACAGGTATCTCTAATTCAGCAAGGGACGAAGAGAGTAAAGGTGGTCTCTCAGCTTTCCGAAATGTGGGAAAACCTACAAAACATGGTGTCCTAGGAACTGCTAGTGCTCCTATCCACATGGTGGCTTCAGAAGGAGGGCATTTTAAAGATCAATTGTGGCGTACTTTTCGTAGTATTGCACTTGGCTTCTTATTGATTTCTGGTGTTGGAGCACTTATTGAGGATAGAGGGATTAGTAAAGGTAGAATGTTTAAGTGACAGAATTTTTCTCTTAAATTCTCTATGTGCATGTTTAAACTAATAATACTTTTTCTGAATTCTGACTGTCTATCCTTGTTTTAGGACTTGGCCTACACGAAGAGGTGCAAGTTGTGGAATCTAACACAAAATTTAATGATGTCAAAGGTGTTGATGAGGCAAAGGCAGAGTTAGAAGAAATTGTCCACTACCTTCGAGATCCTAAGGTAAATGCACTATTGGATTTGAGGAATCTCTCTCTCCCAACCTATCTTCTCTAAATACCTTTACGCTTCTTGCAGCGTTTCACTCGTCTTGGTGGCAAGCTTCCAAAAGGCGTCTTGCTTGTTGGTCCACCTGGCAATGGGAAAACTATGTTAGCAAGAGCTATTGCTGGAGAGGCTGGGGTACCTTTCTTCTCCTGCAGTGGCAGTGAGTTTGAAGAGATGTTTGTTGGAGTTGGAGCTCGAAGAGTGAGAGATCTTTTTGCTGCTGCAAAGAAGCGATCACCATGTATTATATTTATTGATGAGATAGATGCCATAGGTGGAAGCCGTAATCCAAAGGACCAGCAGTACATGAGGATGACTTTGAACCAGTTGCTCGTTGAATTGGATGGATTTAAACAGAATGAAGGAATTATTCTAATTGCTGCAACTAATTTTCCAGAATCATTGGATAAGGCACTGGTGAGACCTGGACGATTTGACCGCCGCATTATTATTCCTTATCCAGATGTTGAAGGACGGAGGCAGATTTTGGAAGCACACATGACAAAGGTACTGTGTTGACTGTGTAGAAGTCCATGTGTTGTAGGAGTTTGAGCTTGAGTTGATAGCTGTCGGTGGCTGATTGATCAGGTTTTGGACTGTACTTTGCGCAGACTGTGCTTTGCTGGCCCCAATGGAGCATATATCATAAAAGTTGGCTTGATATTAGCTTTACAGACATGCTTCTAATTAATGTCTTTGCTATTTTACATGTTGGTTAAATTACATCAACATTTGGTTGTCTGACTGTCCATATTAGGTTTATGTTGCATCACAGTAATAATTCATCTTGGTGATATTTTGTGATGGAATCATTGTGTGCATCCATGCATGTCTAACCATTCACTCTGGTGCATTCCAGGTCTTGAAGGCTGATGATGTTGATTTAATGATCATTGCTAGAGGTACTCCTGGATTCTCCGGTGCTGATCTAGCAAATTTGGTCAATGTTGCTGCTGTGAAGGCTGCAATGGATGGTTCTAAAGCAGTGACAATGACTGATCTGGAGTATGCAAAGGATAAGATCATATTGGGAAGTGAACGCAAGTCAGCTGTCATATCTGACGAGTCACGGAAGTTGACAGCTTTCCATGAGGCCGGCCATGCCCTTGTTGCCATCCATACTGATGGGGCACTTCCTGTTCACAAAGCAACAATAGTCCCTCGAGGGATGGCTCTTGGTATGGTGTCCCAGTTGCCTGACGTGGACCAAACAAACTTGTCCAGAAAGCAGATGCTTGCAAAGCTTGATGTTGCCTTGGGGGGGTGGGTTGCAGAAGAGCTCATCTTTGGAGAAAATGAAGTTACTTCTGGTCCAGTGTCTGATCTTGAGCATGCAACTAATATAGCTAGAGCTATGGTTACAAAGTATGGCATGAGTAAAGAAGTGGGGTTTGTTAGTCATTCTTATAATGACAATGGTAGGAGCATGAGCACGGAGACTAGACTTCTTATAGAGAAAGAAGTGAAGAACTTATTGGGAAGGGCTTATAACAATGCAAAAACCATCCTCACCACCCATAGCAAAGAACATTATGCACTTGCTAATGCATTGCTTGAGCATGAGACACTCACAGGAACTCAGATTAAGGCTCTGCTTGCCAAGGTCAACTCCCAGCAGCAGGAACAAGAACAGCATCAAGAAATGGTTGCACCACAGAATGAACCTCAGTCCAACCCAGTGCCTCCAAGTCCAAGTCCAAGTCCAGCTGCATCTGCGGCCGCTGCAGCAGCTGCTGCAGCTGCTGCTGCAACTGCTGCAGCTAAAGCCAAAGGCGTTGCTCCTGTTGGATCTTAGCATGCAAGAGGCTGGTAAGGGCCTCTTGCCTGGTGGCTATTTATTGAATTGAATATGCACATACATATTTTCCAGATTTATATGAGCTTTAGGAACTTTGACTGATTGCTGCTGCTGGGATTATTTATGTATAACCTTGCCTCTGATATGGAATGAAAGATGTAGAAGAATCATATGGCAGTGAAGTCGCCATGGCAAGTAGCAGTTGAGTATTTTGCCCATTTAATTGAACAATTTTACTTATACAGTGGATAACGTACCATTTAAAAGTTTTACTTTCCTTGGGATTAGTTTGTAAAGCCTTAATAATAAAGTGCCTTTTGATCACTTTTTTTACTTTTTGACTGTTATTTGGGTTCTGCATTAAGGCTTGGACTTGGCTGGCAGGAAGTCACTTGAGAGTTCAAACCTTTGGTGTTATTAGTATTTGTGTTCTTTTCGGGATTTACTTGACCGGAAAATATTAAGTGTTGTGGTTGACTTGCTGAGTTATCACTGAAATTATGGCTAGTCTTTCTGACTGAAACAAGAGCTCTGTACCGTCATAGCTAAAATCTTGATCTTTCCGGGCGTGACCATTTGTTTGTGCTCTTAATCATTTTTTGCGTTAATTCTTGAAAGGGTTTTTTCGTTTTAGTTTTGTTTCTTGCTTCTGTTTGGGGATAATTAATACTCGATTTATAAATACACTAGCTAGTTCTATGCAAAGACATACAATCTTGTTTTTGTTTATAACAAGGTCAAAACGATTAGTAGTCTTAATGTAAATCTTTGGCGCCTGACGGTTGAGCTGGAACATGTTTCGGTTGGGTCAAACATTAACTCAAAGATCACAGTTTAGTAATCGGATAGAGCTACTTCGAATTCAAAAGAACATGATGGCTCCTCTCCTTGAGCCGGCTCATCAGTCTTGGTTATACGTTCAATCGATGCGTTTCCAACTCGCACCCCCCATGACTTCAGGCAAGCAGTTCATTGATGTGGGATTTTTTCGACAGGAATTATAATAATAAAGAAAGATGGATGATGATTTTCTTTTTACTTTTTCATGATTGGTTTGTGGATTTATTATTTGTCTAACCTTGATAACACAATGGATGTTGCATTCTGAGATATGTAATTTGCAACAGTTGAACAGCAGAGAATTGTAATTCTAAACAGCCATGGGGAGAACCTTGTTGGAATATTACATGAAACAGGTTCCAGGGATCTTGTCATCATATGCCATGGCTTTCAATCAAAAAAGGTGAGTAAAATTGTTGCATAACATTACATTGTCATTGATTTCCATGAGTTAAAAACTTTTGTCCGACCGTTCATAGGCTTTCTTATTGTAAATTAAAGTGAAGACCAATTCACAAACAAATTTGGGTTTTTATGTACAGGAACGCAAACCCATGTTGAGTCTTTCCGCTTTCCGCTTTGATTTTGCTGGGAATGGGTAAGAATATTACTGGAAGTGAAGAAGCAAAATTTTGAAATTTCTGAGTTATACTAATACCAAAAGTTACATGTTGTTGATACAATCAATGGTTATTGAGGCTATTTGTAAGATTCCTTTATGTATGGTAACTACCGCAGAGAAACCGAGGATTTACGAGCTGTTGTCCAACATTTCTGCAAGAAGGAATGTCTTGTAAATGCAATTATTGGCCACACTAAAAGTTTCTTCAATATACAATTAGGATATGAATCAATGTAATCAAACTCTAAATGAAAATAGAAGGGGAGGGAACTGGTGAGGTTTTATGAATACATAAAAAATTTTCACGTCAAGTTGTTGAATCTAATACTCTGTGCTGTGAAGAACTTTAGTTCTTAGAAATTAAAAGTTCCCCCAGAACCATAAGAGAAGAGTTACTTTATTATTGCATAAAAAACTAATGCAATTTGCAGATTATCAAGTTTTTTCATGTCGGATAGTGATTAGTGACTTTTGTTGTCTTTTCATATGTCCACCTTTTTTTAAAATATGCTTTTAAAAGATCAAATATTTTGATTCATTTATGAATTCTTTTAAGTTACTATAATGCTGAAAAGGGTTCCTGTAGGGGGAAATATGGTGCTTCTCCATGCTTCAAAGTATAATGATGTACGCACCGTCATCAATATTTCTGGCCTGTTCCATCCAGAGAAAGGCATTGAAGGAAGGTCGATTGGGTAAAGATTTCTTACAAAATATGGAGCAAAATGGGTTTATTTATGTTAAGAATAGAAAAGGTAGCTACCATATTGTACTTCATTCTCTCAATATTTTATGTGAAGTTCTGTTGTCACCCTCCAGTCAACAATTTTGAGATAAACTAGTAACTTTTTCTCTGAAACCAATTACTCGCTTGTCATTTGCAGGAAAGTTTGAATATCGTGTAACTCAAGAAAGTTTGAAGGACCGATTAACCGCTGATACTCATGTAGCATGTCTTTTGATTCATCAAAATCGCAGGTTAGAAAATGCTAGATTGATTGCTTTTCTGAAGTTCATGATACAGCCGAATCAATTGCAATGTGGATATCACTTGGTGCAGTCATATATTCTGGATAAACTTAATTTTGATCCTCCATCCGCTAAATCAGATTCAACCGTTTGTTTTTGGAATTATTACTTTGCTTTTCACTAAAGTTGTGATTAGTGGTATAGAGTTCTCACTTGTGTTTTAGCTTTTAACCTTGATGCCATTATTTTCCCGGTATTGACAATCCATGGATCCATGGGTAAATTTGTACCAGCCAAAGATGCCCTGGAGTTTGCCAGGTTTATTGGAAATCATAAACTGCACATAATTGAAGGAGCTGATCCAAGGGGAGTTAGCTACAGTTGTGGTTGACTCCATAAGCGCAGTTCCTGAAGACAAAAACATACCCAAGGCCGAACATTTACAATTGTGCAAAAGAGGAGTTAATTTTCTCAAAGCACGTATCTGATAAATTGTGAATAACAGAGATGTTCAGTGTTCCTGATAGAAGAAAATAGATGCAGAAGATTTTTGGGGATGTGGTCTCGTGCTGAAAAATATACAAATTCCAGCCCAGATGATGCAGCTAATTAGGCCATTGATGATGCCCTCAGTTCATGTAATTACCACAGAGCAAACGATAAGCAAGAGGATAACATTTTGGAAATTCAGACGCCTCAAATTACGATAAACAGCGGCTAATGGCTAATACTTGTAGGTTTCGGATATATTACAGTAATTATTGAATATTTTCCAGGCTATCAAGCATTCAAGCTATAGCAAATGAATACAAAACAGGCTCACAGTGCATAGTACTTCCTGCACCAAAAGGCCACGACTCGAAACGCAAGATCTCTATCTGTCAAACACTTAATTAGCTAACACAGTCTGTTGCTTCACCCCAATTTCTCTCCAAGAAACAGTGGGCATAATCTGTTTACTGTCAACACGATCCTTGAACTTAATAGCAAAGTTGAGCAATGAGTCAAGAAGAGTCTGAGAGGAGATGCGGTTTGAGTCCCAGCTCAACGAGTTTAGTATGCTTTGCATTGTAATAATGTTCCTCTGCCTCAACTCTTGGATTGGGCACAGTTATGGTTTGCACATCAAGTCCAAGCTTCTCTCCTGCCTTTGCTACAAGGGTAGCCAGTTCATTGACAAAAAACTGCTCAGTGAATTGACTGAAGACCCGAAATTCACCAGGTTGTGCAGGATTTGCAATGTTAAGTCCAACACACTGAACTGTGTCTCTTATGTCAAGGTAACCCCTGGTCTGAATTTTATAAAGAAAGCAGGAGAGGTAGAATTAGATATGAAGGAAGGAAAAACGCCACCCTCTAATTATAGCTAAACACAAATATGCCTATGAATTTCGGGCATTATTAAAAAAAAAAAAAAAAAAAAAGCCATGTCTCATGTTTGTGGTAACACATCTACATGTTGAATGAATGGGTCTGGGTATGTGCAACATGCAGCTATCTGATAAATGCGGCATTTGTCTGTGCCAGACATGATGCATTGCATAAGACTAACAGACTAAGTAATTATAAGGTTGATGAAATCCAATTCAGTTGACAGTGGACAGTCATTCCTCCCAAAATCAGAACCACAGCATAAAGACATACCTTAAGTTATTTATTAAAACCAAATGATAAAAGACAAAATGTAGGGCATCAGTGCTTTATCAGGTTCGAAAGAGGCTTCTCACCTGACCGCATTTCCCATAAACAGTAAGGAGGGGACAAGCAGCAGCCTGAACACAACCGATTCGATGCTGTTCCAAATACTCCATCATAATCAAACTGTTACACAGCTGTTCATGCATTGAAGTCTCATCGGTCCTTCGACCATACACCACTCCTTGATTCAGATCAGTGGCTCTGGTCCCCCAAGCCTTGCAAGTGAGGGCTATACTATTTGAATCATGAACCTACTGAGATGATAAAAGGAGCTCGCTTGCTTCGGATAAGGTAAAGTATCAGTCCTTCCCTTGTGAGTAATTGTTATATAACCTCCAATATCTATGTTTGGAGTTCCATGCTCTCCCATTGTCCCAAGCTTCACAAGATGGCACTGTTCTCTGAATTCCTTTATTGCAAAAAGAATGTTAAGAGTTCCAATCACATTATTCTTCTGAGTGAACACAGCTCTTGAACAATCAATCATTGAATAAGGGGCAGATCGCTGCTCTCCGAAATGGACAACAGCATCAGGTTCAAATGAGTTGAAGGTTTCAGATAAGAACTCAAAGTCACAAATATCACCAATATAAAGTTCAATTGTCTTTCCAGTGATAGATTTCCAAAAACTGAGTCACTTATGGATGAAGGAGATAAGTGTCAAGGAGTCAAGACCAAGCTGGTGGTCAAAGAGCTGACGGACAAGGCTATCAACATTGCAACCTCATAAACTTTGTGGACAGGTGGAGGGCTGTAGCCTGACCACAGTACCCATCTCCGCCAATAACCATGACCCGCTGAGGCTTTGAAGATTCATTTGGGGATTGATTAGAACTAGACCTGGGTTGAGCTAAAATTCTTGGCTTACAGGCGCAGCAGTATCACGAACCACACAACTTCTTCCTGCCCTGTCTCCTAGCGAAAAAAGCCTTTTTGAAGGGAGATTTGGAAGTCTGAATGATAAAAGAGGTAGGTTCAGCTGTCCGAACCGGATTCAGAGGTTGATCACAAGGTCTGAAGCTAGAGATCTTAACAGAGCATGAAGTTGACAGCAAATGTGCCATTTTAACGTTTGATTGTGCCCAACAATATGCACATGCACCCGCCAAATACCAATTAAGGGTCCAAAATTAGTTCCAAAATCCAGGGAAATGTCGTTTAGGCAAAAACTTGTATTATTCTGTTTTGCTCTTCTGGAACAAGTTCCACTCTTAAAGCATTGCTGGAAAAGAAGAAAACATTTCTCATGTCCAATAGAAAGGCAATTTACAGAGTTAAAACCGTAACTTCTAACAACCACCACATCTATAAGCTCATAATAAATTTTTGGTCCAACACTACTTTCTATTTGGGACAACCAAACAAAAAATAAAGCATTTAAGCTGCATAGCTGAATCATACAAGTAAACCCACTTAAAAAAAACAGAATCTCAAATACCCAACAGTTTAAAAGTTGTTTGCTTTCTCATTTAAGAATAACCAACCATTCCTAAGCACCCAATAATGAATAAACATATAAAAAGAACCAATAACAAGAAAAACGAAAAAGTAGAAAACATTGCTGAACTGAACAGTGATTACCTTGAGAGAAGGAAAGCTTAGAAATGACGTTAAAAAGAAGAGGTTGTTAAAAACTGGAGATGAGATGAGAAGAGAGGCCTCTGCTTCGGGCTTCAGGGACAAAAGAAAGGGGGGGGGGGGGGGGTTCGTTCTCTACATTCCGGGACGAATCAAAACAGAAAGAGGATTTTCGTTCTATCTAGTGTGAGTACTAACTTTTATTGGGTGTGTATTTTGGTCTGAAACAAAATAAAATGGAGCGCCGTCCAACGACCGGTGGACAGCTTTTTGGAGCGACTCGGCTCGACAGCCCATTTGCTGGTCTTTTTATCCCCTTGCTTCAAACTGATGCTTGTGGCGACTGGCGAGGGTGTTGTTACGTTGTAAACTTTTCTCATGTCTTTATGCACCAAAAAATCATGAACCAAACCCCATTTCTCTCCTGCTGTTTTTAAGTCAAAGTTCGAATGTAATCCTTGTACCATCTCAGTTGTGAGGTTTAAAAGTTTAATAGGCAATTTGCACCAAAACAAAGGTTTGACGACTTTATTTAACAAAATAATATAGTAGCAGGTAAAAATATTCAGACGAACATCATCACTGAAAATGAAATAACCTCTAAACATTGTGTTACTACTATATATGCCCATTTTACATAATCTTGATTCCATGATACGTTGAACAAACATGAAACATGAACTGGCACAAGTTCATGAAGTTGTTCATTTTTGTGGTGGGACGTCCCTTGTTCAGAAAGATTTTTGGATGCAAAAGCTTTTGTAATGTGGGAGTTCCAGCTCCAAAGAAGCCGTCGTTGTTCATGATAGAGTTTCAAGAGAGGCTTCTCTAATCTAAAAATCAAATGAAACGCATCCAATTAAGGTAGCCGCCAATGACATGCTAGTCAGAGTGCGAATCACTTGACTATTCCTCGGCAGTTCATTGGTTTCCACCGGCATCGTCAACTACTCCAACAAGCATTAAAAAGATCGGAAAACCAATCCATATTTACCATGCAGAAAGCTTGTATTTCTTCGCATACACCGGAGCACTTGCTATGAAGTTCTGCTCAAAACAGGTCATTACTTTCAAGTACTAAGATATTCTCTATCTATCTACTTTTTCTTCCTCCAACATCATTCATACAAAAACGAACTTTTAAGTGCTTTGCCCATCAAAGAAAAAAACAGCTTGCAATATAAAAGATTATGCCACAAGCCAAAAATATTGAAGTAGCATGATGTTTCAAGAACCAGTGAAGAGTAATGCTCCAGCAGTACACAATTTTATCTCCGACATGACAGAACTTCTTCTCAAAAGGTATAGCAGGTTTGGTGAAAACTATCCAACTAAGGATGAATAGATGCTCTGTCCAGTCAAAGCAAAAGTGCCTTATCAATGTGCTGTAAAAGCTCAGCCCAAAGTTTTGCTCCAACCTCTAGTATCAAGCAGCTGGAACCTTTTTCCCATCCTCAATGAAGAAAATAGCAGTTTCAGGCACCTGAAAGGGCACAACAAAGACGGAAGATTCAATTCATGGAAGGGGAGAGAGCAAGTTTTGGGAACATGATGACTTATTGCAAAAATAAAAATATATTGGCGAATAGACAAGCATCCAAAGAAATTTCAGTAGAATAATCCAAAGAATGGGACTGCCACCTCTTCTAGCAAGGACGAATGAATTAAATTTTATATTGGTGTATTAGATATAAACACAAAATTAACAACTATAATGAAACTTAACCAAACTTTAGCATTAGCAATGAACAATATAGCATCACTTTCAAGGGGATAGAGAATCATTTTTCATCATCAAGCTATACCTAAGTGGGAATTGGAGACTTTCATGTTGAGTTGCTGTATCTCCATGTGTAAAAGCAGAGAATAGTTCTTTTTAATAGAAAATTCAAAGAAAATAAACATCGATGCTTTGATATTTCTCATATGCAGCATTTTCATATTGAAGGAAATGTAAGTAAGATAATTAATTAAATTACAGCCGGCCAGGTCTCTGTAATAAATTCCACAATATCATATGCTATGTCCCCTTGAACATCAATTTGCTCCTTTTCAGTTGGCCCCTAAAGGAAATCAATCATCAAAAAGTTTGTAAGTAACGAACCAATAATGGAATGAAAACTATAAATGCAGATGACATTTGTACACCTTAACAACTGAAGCTCCAGTGGCAAACTTCTTCCCAAGCTTTTTGGAAGCATCACTGAGCTTAATTCCTGAAATAATACCTCCTAATCAGAAATTAACTTGTTTTGGCAAAACTAATCAGGAGATGAAAAAGATAAAATTTGAGAATGAATAGAGTCATATCAGTAACTGGCTCACCAAATAGATCCAATCCTTTCATAATGGTGATACATTTGCGCCTGTTACGTACGACCTTTTCAATAACAACTTCTTGTTTCTCCTTTAATTTGACCAAAAAAAAAAAGTGGGGAAAATTAGGAAGACAACATATGTTACTCTCACACCCTAAACCTAAGAATCTTGTAGGTAAAGGTCCACAAGCAATGACTTTGAATAAGAATTTGTAATTATTTTACCATGATTTAGAACATAAATCATGCGCATACCAACAACAACCAATTAGATTAGAAACACCAGAAAGAAAAGAAAAGGAAACAGGCGGACTAATTCCTCCAATATTTGGAGGATTCAACCCTGCACATTTACCTAAGCTAATTGAGAAAAATGTTATTTAAGGATTGGGGATCAAAACCTTCAAAATAAACTATGAATATTTGGTGCAAATAATACCAAAGAAGAAGAATAAAAATTAAAAAAAAGCCCATACTTTCTTCTTTATTTTTCCACCAGGAAGACGTTTTACTTCTTCTTGCTTAGATGATGATGCATCCCCTGAAAAATAAAAAGCATTGGATCAATGAGAAAAAAAAAAAAAAGAATCTCCTACCTGGAAGACAATGAATAAAGTTTGAAGACAATATTTGTGATCAAATATTCCCAATGTGAAGTAATGCTAACCTGGTTGAGAGGAAGATGCCGCCACATCAGCAGCAGAGGAAATACCAACTGATTGGAGCTGTTCAGAAACCTTGCTAGCATCCCTTTCATCAGCCTCTGAACAACAAAAACAATTATCAATGAGAAGTTATTAACTTACTATAACTGTCAGAACTTAAAACTATAAGAAGTTCACATATAAAAAACCAAAAAATTTCCTTTCTTCTCTTACCCTACAAAACTAAGTAAAAGGGTGTTCAAATCACACAAAACAATTGACATTAAGAATATATATATATATATATATAGCAAAAAGCAGAGAATTTTCCCTTCATTCATCAATCCATATCAGAAAACATCCTCCAAAGAAACCAAATTTAAAATCCAAGAAAACAAAAAAAAAAAACTCCCATAAAAAAACCAAAAAGTTGTCTTCTTTATTGCCAGTTCCATGATACTTTATAAGAGAAAGAAAAGATATAAAACCTTTAAGGAGATGTGGGTAAAGGTCAGGGGCGTTGTTGATCAACCAAGGCTTACACTTTTCGAAATCAGGGCCGAATTCACAGTACTCAGCTGGAAGAGAACATATGGGACAATATAGTACTTTCACCGCTTGAGGTTTCTCTGCCATTTCTTCAATCTTTTTCTTTTCCTTCTCTCCTTTGCGTTGGATTTATTATTAATCGAAACCCAACAGATTTCTCAAAGCAATATCGGTGCAATCATGCAAACAGAACCCGATTCTGCTTTTTCTTTTTCGTCTCTCTTTCGTGTTGGGGAACAAAGCTTATCTATGTGGGCTAGAAGGGCTTGGAAGCCATGAATATGGATTGGGCTGGAGCCATATTAATGGACCTAGTTGGGCCATTTATACTAGCCCAAACAATCTATCTAATTTATTATAGTGTGCAATGTCAGCTTGTTTCTTAAAAAATGCAAGGGAAAAAAAAGCTTACTATTTTTGGGAGAGAAAAACTATTAAGTTAGATTTTCCATGGAAGAAGAGTGTTAAATGTTAATTGTTCATTAAAAAATATATATCAGAGTACATATGAAAATTTTTCATTTTAAAATTAGAAGTAAAGTTAAAAATTTTTATTTTAATAATTAAAATTTAAACCTAAAATATAAAAAATAATAATTAACATGTTTTTTTTGTAATTTTCATATTATACTACTCTCAAAGGATTATCATACATGTAAAGACACATTCACGTATTTACGATAAGTTATAAAATTTTATTTAAAGATATCTTTCCCGGAAAGTACTATAAAATTATTCGTATTAACAAAATATCGAATTCTTAATTTTAATAGTAAAAATTTAACTTCCAATGATCTTAAATATAAAAAAATCATAGTCTTATAAGAAGATATACCATTGCACATGCAAGATGCGGTTATGATAATTTTAAGTGGGGCTGTGAATATATTTAGAGCAAATGCAGTGGCATATTTTAATTTTTGTGCACCTAACGTGCTTGCTGCTTTGCCTTGTCCCATTTATCTAACGTTCCCAACTATATATTTCCTCCAACTACCATTCAAAAGAAATTCCTACTGAGTTTGGAATATTCCTTTCAGAAGGGTTAAGGGGGAGAATATGAATATGAATATTCTTTTCATGATTTTTTTTTTAAGGGAAATTAAAATTAAAATAAATGTGATTAGTATTAATCATCTTTTTTTAGCTACATATTAATCATAATTACTCGCGTATCATGTGTTTATCGTTAAATCAAATGGACAAATTATTATATACATTATTTTATTATGAAAAAAAAATGAATGAATTTATTTTTCAATCATGAAATGAAGTAATAATTATGAAATGTCTCCTCCTCTTGCTTTTCTCTCTCGTTGTCTTCTCAATCATGTAAGGATGAGAACACAATAACACTACTCCACTTGAAAATGGTTTTTTTTTTTTTTTTTTGGTGAGATCCACTTAGAAAGGATGAGTAAATAAGATATTTAAACTTTGAAGGATATCAATTTGATTTTTAAACTTCAAAAAATAATTTTAATTTACACATCAAAATGATATTTGTTTCAAAATTTGAGAATAATTTTTAAAAGATTAACATGGAGGTTTATAAGCTCCAATTGCATGTCATTATCAACAATTAAATCCAAAATTAAAATCATTCAAGAATATTGGAGTAAACATCAAGTTCTTGGGACAAACACTATAAAAAAATGTTATCACTTTCTTTAGAAAAATCCATAAATTACTCATAATAAGTCATTAAAAATGTTAGTAGCATGTGGATAGCATATTCTTATGCAAATGACACTAAGTTTTTAAAAATTTTAATAGTTAAATATTAATTCAAATGGTATGTATCTCAGTTAAATTTTTTAAAGTTATAAATTAAAAAATATAAGCTTAAAAATTAATGGATTAAATATAAATTATAAATTCATTTTTAACAAATTTTTAATTAGCCAACCAAATAACCCCCAACAACCTCAAAGTTATTAATTGAATGCCAAAACCCCCGCAATTAATTTTCAGTTTTGTGTATTAATTAGGATTCATTTTTTCGCGTACATTTCAAACTGCACCATTAATATGCTAATTCACTCGTCAAAAATGTTTCGTTGAATGAAAGAAAGAAACAATGGATGACAAATTGCAATTTAGTGTTAAAAATATCTTGAAATTTGAAATCAGTTAATTAATAATTATAATGATATTGGATACCATTAATTAAAAGTTTAGGGAAAGTTTGAACAATGATTTGAAAATCTTAAAACAAATATACCACCGTTTAATTTAAAGTTGTTTGTTTTTTCTCACTTTTTTTTCCCGACAAATCATAGAACAAAGACAGGCACATAGCCATAGGTGCTGAGAGAAAGTAGAAACAAAAGAATAGATGCAAAACTGTCCATTAAATATTAAAAGCAAGGTTGACAGAAGGAGTAATAATTTATTGCCCACTCAAGCCCAAGATATTTTAGTTTCTTAGCTCTTAAGGTTTTATCAGCTTTTTATTGTTTAAACTATTCTGTGGCGCTTCTTCAATTTGCTTGTCTGTACGCACCCAACCCTGCTCTTTTCGTACTATATATTATGATATGATATCACCTCGCTTCGTTTCTCCGTCACAACCCTAAAGGCAAAGGCAAAGGCAAAGCAAAAAACCAGACATAAAGCTGAGAACTTTTCATTCATTCGTACATTGGAAGAGAATCTCAGCCCTAAAAAGGCCTTTTTTTTTTCTCATGCCATAATCGTTTCACAACTACAAGGCCTCTTCATTTCACTCTCCTGGAAGGAAGAGAAACACTAAAAATCGGATCCCTTTTTTGGTTGCTTGGTTCTTGCATCAAATGGCGGAGTCAAGGAGGTGCATTTCCAAAGCAGAGCTTGAAAACCACAAAAAACCAGGAGATCTGTGGATCGCTATACATGGCAAGATCTATGATGTCACGGAATGGAGTCACGACCACCCTGGAGGGGCACTTCCATTGCTGAATCTGGCTGGCCAAGATGCCACCGATGCGTTTGTAGCCTTTCATCCAGGCTTAGCTTGGCAATATCTTGACAAGTTCTTTACTGGGTACTATCTAAAAGATTACTCTGTCTCGGAGGTATCCAAGGATTACAGAAAACTTGCTGCCGAGTTTTCAAAGATGGGTCTTTTCGAAAAGAAAGGACATGGAACATGCTTTTCACTTTGCTTCATAGCATTGTTTTTTTGGGTCAGTGTTTATGGTGTTTTATGCTGTAACAGCGCATGGGTGCATCTCTGTTCTGGCGGGTTAATGGGGTTCTTGTGGATTCAGAGTGGGTGGATGGGACATGATTCTGGCCATTACCAGGTTATGTCTAGCAGAAAATTCAACAGATTTGCTCAGATCCTTACTGGGAATTGCCTTGCAGGGATCAGTATTGGTTGGTGGAAATGGAACCATAATGCTCATCACATTGCTTGTAATAGTCTTGATTTCGATCCAGATCTTCAGCACATGCCTTTATTCGCGGTATCTTCAAAGCTTTTTAATTCGCTTACATCTTATTTCTATGAAAGGAAGATGAATTTTGATTCTGTTGCTAGGTTCTTGGTTAGTTACCAGCATTGGACATTTTATCCTGTAATGTGTTTTGCTAGGATTAATCTATTTGCACAATCCTTCCTATTGTTGTTTTCTAAGAGGAAGGTACCAAATAGGGGTCAGGAGATTTTGGGGCTTCTTGTTTTCTGGACTTGGTATCCTCTACTTGTTTCTTGCTTGCCTAATTGGGGTGAGAGATTGATGTTTGTGGTTGCCAGCTTTGTTGTTACTGGAATTCAACACATTCAGTTCTGTTTAAACCATTTCTCATCGAGTGTTTATGTTGGGCCGCCTAGTGGAAACGATTGGTTTGAGAAGCAAACTGATGGGACACTTGATATATTGTGCTCATCCTGGATGGATTGGTTTCATGGTGGTTTGCAGTTCCAGATTGAGCACCATTTGTTTCCAAGGATGCCTCGGTGCCATCTCAGGAAAATTTCCCCATTCGTTAAGGAGCTATGCAAGAAACACAATTTACTATACAATAGTGCATCATTTTGGAAGGCAAACGCAATGACGATTGGAACTCTTCGATCAGCAGCATTGCAGGCTAGGGATCTCAGCAACCCAATTCCAAAGAACTTAGTCTGGGAAGCAGTTAATACTCATGGGTGAGATGAAAAATGTGCTGCTCTCTAAGTTTTGTTGCTGGAGTTATTTTGTCCTGCCATGAACTGGGTATAATAACTTCATTTCAATTCAGAGGGTGCTTATCCTTGGTTTCAATGGAATAATAATCATCTTTGTCATTGCTTGTAGGCTTCAATTATTTATAGTTGAGCTGCATGTTTATGATAGAGCTTTTATGACTAGATCTTAAAAGTTGCTTACTGATTCCTGTAGGCTGATAAAAATTTTCCTCTGTTCATGCTCTTAAGTAACTGCCAGTACATTAGTTGGATGTAAAATATTGCATTTAATTTTGTTGTTTCTTTTGATAGTATACTTTTATGGGGCTATGTTCTTTTCTCTATGATTGTTTGAGATTTTGTATGGATGTAACATTTGATGGTTTTTAGGTCAATTTGGAATATGAAGATCTGTCCTTTTCCGGACAATTCTCTCTTGTTGCATTTCCTGATACATTTTTTCTCTTCATAATGCTGATGGTTTTTGTTTCGACAGGCAGATTGCAGATCCTTATTATTCAATCAGACTAAAATGCCTTTCAAATTTGTTTGCTCTAAAAAGGTTTTCCTCTTACTGGTTGTCAATTGTTGTATCATTCAACCTAATTTTCCCACCTGGCAAGTTCTGATTTGCTTTTTCCATCAATAAACAGACAATTTATTTTGGACAATTCGACCTTGAAACCAGCATTGCCAGCCTAGAATGAGGACCCCTTCTCTTTAGTTGCCAATCTGGCTCCTCTAAATGCAATGAGCCACATGAGTTTAGTTGCCAAAAAGGAGGGCTCTGAAGCCTTGACAGGAGCCAGGGAAAAACACTGTTAGATGAGTGATTACTAATTGGTGGTAGAGAGGACCCAAACCCAATCCTCCACCCTTCAACAGACATCTCACATCTGTGACTGTGAGCAGTGGTTTACATTGGAGTGATGGGATAGTTTTTGGACAGTAGAATAAACAACAAAAGGGATCTCAAGCAGGCTATTTTCACAATGGATACTCGGTAATGCTTGGCTTGGTTCTTGAAACAGCTGTAACCTAACCATAATCATAGTTAGGTTGAAGGCTAGGCATGTAGTAGCAGTTATTCTCTTCCACACTTGGAAACATATAGGCTCACGTGATACTTGGACCATTTGCAGTCCAATAAATACCATGATAAATGATACTATTGGCACATGCGGTTCACGGAATGAAATAGAAAGAAAATGGAATAGGTTTTTGTGAGAATAAAAAATAACAATAACAAAATAGAATATATATTATAAAGTTTGGTTTAACTAAATGGAATAGAGAAATAATTATTATTAATATATTTGTTAGTTCAAAGGATATAGTTGAAATAAGTTTAAAAAACTATTTTATCTTTTATATTAAATTAATTATAATTTATTTATAGAAATAAAATAAATAATATTTTATTATTAAAAAGTAATTATTAACTTTTTTATAATTAATTATTAATTAAATAATAAAAATTAAGTATTATTCATAATTAATAACCCAACTGAAGTTAATCATCATTTTTTTAGCTACATATTAATCATAATTACTCACGTATCATGTGTTTATCGTTAAATCAAATGTACAAATTATTATATACATTATTTTTATTTTGAAATAAAAAATGAATGAATTTATTTTTCAATCATGAAATGAAGTAGTAATTATGAAATATCTCCTCCCCTTGCTTTTCTCTCTTGTTGTCTTCTAAATCATGTAAGAATGAGAACACAATAACACTATTCCACTTGAAAATGGTTTTTTTTTTTTTTTTTTTTTATGGAATCCACTTAGAAAGGATGAGTAAATAAGATCTGTAAACTTTGAAGTATATCAATTTGATTCTTAAACTTCAAAAAATAATTCTAAAGTTTTCTTTTTTTTTAATTTAGACATCAAAATGATATTTGTTCCAAAATTTGAGAATAACTTAAAAAAAATTTAACATGGAGGTTTATAAGCTCCAATTTCATGTCATTATCAACAATTAAATCCAAAATTAAATCATTGAAGAATATTGGAATAAACATCAAGTTCTTGGGACAAACACTATAAAAAAAATATCTCACTTTCGTTAAAAATATCCACAAATTACTCATAATAAGTCATTAAAAATGTTAGTAGTATGTGGATAGCAAGTACCATATTCTAATGCAAACGACTAGGTTGTTTGATAGCAAGAAATGTAAGGGTTTATCACAACTAAGTTTTTAAAAATTTTAATGGTTAAATATTAATTTAAATGGTATGTATGTCAGTTAAATTTTTTAATGTTATAAATTTGTAAAAAATAAGCTTAAAAATTAATGGATTAAATATAGATTATAAATTTATTTTCAAAAAATTTTTAATTAGCCAACCAAATAACCCCCAACAACCTCAAAGTTATTAATTAATTGCCAAAAGCCCCGCAATTAATTTTCGGTTTTGTGTATTAATTAGGATTTATTTTTTCGCGTACAATACAAACTGCACCATTAATATGCTTAATTCACTCACCAAAAATGTTTCGTTGAATGAAAGAAACAAACAATGGATGACAAATTGCAATTTAGTGTAAAAAATATCTTGAAATTTGAAATCAGTTAATTAATAATTATAATGATATTGGATACCATTAATTAAAAGTTTAGGGAAAGTTTCAACGATGATTTGAAAATCTCAAAACAAATATACCACCATTTAATTAAAAGTTTTTTTTTTCTCTCTTTTTTTCCCGAGAAATCATAGAACAAAGAAACCAAAAAGAAACGCACATTGCCATAGATACTAACATAAAGTAGAAGCAAAAGAATAGATGCAAAACTGTGTATCAAATATTAACAGCGAGGTTGACAGAAAGAGTAATAATTTCTTGCCCACCTAAGCCCAAGATATTTTAGTTTCTTACCCCTCAAGGTTTTATCAGCTTTTTATTGTTTAAACTATTCTGTGGCGCTTCTTCAATTTGCTTGTCTGTATACACCCAACCCTTCCCTTTCCTACCATATATTATGATATCACCTCGCTTTATTTCTCCATCACAACCCTAAAGGCAAAGGCAAAGCAAAAAACCAGACATAAAGCTGAGAACTTTTCATTCATTTGTACATTGGAAGAGAACCTCAGCCCTAAAAAGGCCTTTTTTTTTTCTCATGCCATAATCGTTTCACAACTACAAGGCCTCTTCCTTTCACTCTCCTGGAAGGAAGAGAAACGCTAAAAGTCAGATCCCTTTTTTGGTTGCTTGGTTCTTGCATCAAATGGCAGAGTCAAGGAGGTACATTTCCAAAGCAGAGCTTGAAAACCACAAAAAACCAGGAGATCTGTGGATCGCTATACATGGCAAGATCTATGATGTCACGGAATGGAGTCACGACCACCCTGGAGGGGCGCTTCCATTGCTGAATCTGGCTGGCCAAGATGCCACCGATGCGTTTGTAGCCTTTCATCCAGGCTTAGCTTGGCAATATCTTGACAAGTTCTTTACTGGGTACTATCTAAAAGATTACTCTGTCTCGGAGGTATCCAAGGATTACAGAAAACTTGCTGCCGAGTTTTCAAAGATGGATCTTTTCGAAAAGAAAGGACATGGAACATGCTTTTCACTTTGCTTCATAGCATTGTTTTTTTGGGTCAGTGTTTATGGTGTTTTATGCTGTAACAGCGCATGGGTGCATCTCTGTTCTGGCGGGTTAATGGGGTTCTTGTGGATTCAGAGTGGGTGGATGGGACATGATTCTGGCCATTACCAGGTTATGTCTAGCAGAAAATTCAACAGATTTGCTCAGATCCTTACTGGGAATTGCCTTGCAGGGATCAGTATTGGTTGGTGGAAATGGAACCATAATGCTCATCACATTGCTTGTAATAGTCTTGATTTCGATCCAGATCTTCAGCACATGCCTTTATTCGCGGTATCTTCAAAGCTTTTTAATTCGCTTACATCTTATTTCTATGAAAGGAAGATGAATTTTGATTCTGTTGCTAGGTTCTTGGTTAGTTACCAGCATTGGACATTTTATCCTGTAATGTGTTTTGCTAGGATTAATCTATTTGCACAATCCTTCGTATTGTTGTTTTCTAAGAGGAAGGTACCAAATAGGGGTCAGGAGATTTTGGGGCTTCTTGTTTTCTGGACTTGGTATCCTCTACTTGTTTCTTGCTTGCCTAATTGGGGTGAGAGAGTGATGTTTGTGGTTGCCAGCTTTGTTGTTACTGGAATTCAACACATTCAGTTCTGTTTAAACCATTTCTCATCCAGTGTTTATGTTGGGCCGCCTAGTGGAAACGATTGGTTTGAGAAGCAAACTGATGGGACACTTGATATATTGTGCTCATCCTGGATGGATTGGTTTCATGGTGGTTTGCAGTTCCAGATTGAGCACCATTTGTTTCCAAGGATGCCTCGGTGCCATCTCAGGAAAATTTCCCCATTCGTTAAGGAGCTATGCAAGAAACACAATTTACGATACAATAGTGCATCATTTTGGAAGGCAAATGCAATGACGATTGGAACTCTTCGATCAGCAGCCTTGCAGGCTAGGGATCTCAGCAACCCAATTCCAAAGAACTTAGTCTGGGAAGCAGTTAATACTCATGGGTGAGATGAAAAATGTGCTGCTCTCCTAAGTTTTGTTGCTGGAGTTATTTTGTCCTGCCATGAACTGGGTATAATAACTTCATTTCAATTCAGAGGGTGCTTATCCTTGGTTTCAATGGAATAATAATCATCTTTGTCATTGCTTGTAGGCTTCAATTATTTATAGTTGAGCTGCATGTTTATGATAGAGCTTATATTTTTATGACTAGGTCTTAAAAGTTGCTTACTGATTCCTGTAGGCTGATAAAAATTTTCCTCCGTTCATGCTCGAAAGTACTGCCAGTACATTAGTTGGATGTAAAATATTGCATTTAATTTTGTTGTTTCTTTTGATAGTATACTTTTATGGGGCTATGTTATTTTCTCTATGATTGTAGCATTTGATGGTTTTTAAGTCAATTTGGAATTGTGAAGATCTGTCCTTTTCCGGACAATTCTCTCTTGTTGCATTTCCTGATACATTTTCACTCTTCATAATCTGATGGTTTTTGTTTCAACAGGCAGATTGCAGATCCTTATTATTCAATCAGACTAACCCAAAAATGCCTTTTCAATTCTGTTTGCTGCATAAAAGTTTTCCTCTCACTGGTTGTCAATTGTTGTATCATTCAGCCTAATTTTCCCAACTGGCAAGTTCTGATTTGCATTTTCCATCAATAAACGGACAATTTATTTTGGACAATTCGACCTTGAAACCAGCATTGCCAGCCTAAAATGAGGACCCCTTCTCTTTAGTTGCCAACCTGGCTCCTCTACATGCAATGAGCCACATGAGTTTAGTTGCCAAAAAGGAGGGCCCCGAAGCCTTGACAGGAGCCAGGGAAAAACACTGTTAGATGAGTGATTACTGATCAGTGGTAGAGATGACCCAAACCCAACCCAATCCTCCACCCTTCAACAGACATCTAACATCTGTGACTGTGAGCAGTGGTTTACATTGGAGTGATGGGAGAGTTTTTGGACAGTAGAATAAACAACCAAAGGGATCTCAAGCAGGCTATTTTCACAATGGATACTTGGTAATACTTGGCTTGGTTCTTGAAACAGCTGTAACCAAACTATAGTTATAGTTAGGTTGAAGGCTAGGCATGTATTAGCAGTTATTCCCTTCCACACTTGGAAATATATAGGCTCACATGATACTTAGACCATTTGCAAATTGCAATCCAATACATACCATGATAAAAAAAATACTATTGGCACATGCGGTTCGCGGAATGAAATAGAAAGAAAATGGAATAGGTTTTTTGTGAGAATAAAAAATAAAAATAATAAAATAGAATATATATTATAAAGTTTGGTTTTTAACTAAATGAAATAGAGAAAGAATTATTATTAATATATTTGTTAGTTCAAAGAATATAGTTGAAATAAGTTTTAAAAACTATTTTATCTTTTAACTTTTTTTATAATTAATTATTAATTAAATAATAAAAATTAAGTATTATTCATAATTAATAACCCGACTGAAGTTAAAATATTTTACTTACAATGTATCAAATAAATTCTCAAAAAAAAAAAATCTTTTAGTATATATTTAAAAAAAAGTTAATTTTAAAAAACGTGTCTCCAAATAAATGGAGTTAAAAACTCCAATGTATCAAATAATTTCCCCATTCAAAATCCTTTTCTACCTAAGAGAAAATTGATAAATTTCCGCAAAAGCAACTACTAAACAGAGTAAATTTCCCTCATAATTGAAAATTAAGGAGATAAGATAATTAAGCCCAAAATATATAATCATCATAATAATCTTCAAATTTTGAAATCCGTTAAAAAAAAAATCCATGACACGTAGAGTCATACGTCCGTAATTGTTCTCCAGCAGAACAAATCGGTTGAAGCTTAGACGTTGGACCCTCAATTTTTCATTCTTGCGTTCTCTCAATCTATTAATTTTTTTTTCATGATTTCTCTTTTTTGCGATTCTTTTGCGTAAATTCCTGCAATTATGCATACATGTTCTTAAAACTGAACAGCCACAACCAACATGCAAAAGTCCACTGGGAATAACAGCCCGCATCTCAACCTTGTGCTGTTTGTAAATCCTGCAATCACCAAAAAGATTTCCTCAACACCCGCAAACTTTTTGATATTAGGAACATCAACAAACTCATCGAAAACCCCTGACCCTCTCATTGCCATGAAATCCATTATCTTTCAAACCGTGGTTGTAACCTCATTATTTCTGAGTTGCAAAGACAGATTGATTGGAACTAGTCTTGAGCTTGACCTTGTGCTCCAACAGCTTGTAAGACCCGGCGGCGGCTACTAGGACAATAGCAGATAGTTGATGGTTCAAGTGGTTGATGATCATGATCAGGCTATTTGATAATTTCTAATGGCAACATGGTGCAGCCTTACATTCAAGATTGTGAAGATATGAGCTTTAAGTGTTAGAAACAACTCATTGCAGGATACTTAGTTGCATAATCTTTCGTAAAGTTTGTTAGTATTGTTAATCTACGAATAGAATAATAACTAATTGCAATGACCATTGAAACTTTATGTTTTCGACTTGTATGAATTGAAAGATGCATCTGAGTAGAAAATTTGCAACCTGGTTATCTTTCTGAATTTAATATAAAATCTTGTGACATATATATAGAAGAGTACTCCCTTCTGTATTTATGACATAGCAATGTTCCATGAATTTAGTGAAAGCTAAGGTTTTTTCTTTTCCTTTTTCCATACTGCTCTAGTTTGGGACTGTTTTGCAAAGAATGATTGAGCCAGGTTAAAAATTAAAGCACCTAGGAGATGTTAATTAACTAACTGTCTTTCCATGTAGGAAAATGTTAATCTTTTTGAGGCCCCTGTAATTGTAAATGGTGAGTGAAGATCAAATCAGATGCAATAGGATATGTTTATTTTGGTTTAAAGTGGATTATAATAAGATTTTCTTAGGTCTTTCTTTATGTGTAAACAATATGTATTAAGACAGCATATTTCTGTGGACCTAGTTTGGCATGATTCAGATTGATGGCCTGCCTGGTTTTTTAGTTAAAGGGTTGGTGTATCCATTACTTTATGCATACCTTAATAAATGAAGCATTTTTCTCATTTACTGCTCTGCTTCAATTGACAATCCAAGCCATGGTTTTATTTCAGTGACAAACTTGTGTCGAAGGAAGAGCTTGGGTCAATTCAACATTAGCAGAAGCATGATCTCAAGGATGCTGCTTCCCTGTTTGCTCTCACAAATGGCCAGGGATAAATGAGTTTGAAAATCCGCAACTAGCACTGTTTAGATCACTTTGTAGTCCTTGCTGTCCTCATAGTCATCGTTCATTTTTTGTACCGATCGTTCTATATGGTGTAAATACGGTGAGAAAGCATATTGTGCATATGGGGCTAATAGTTTTAAAAGCGTAGTCAAAGTTGTACTAAACTACTTGTTTGATTTGATTCATATAGGAAAACTTTTTCTTGCTTTTAATTCTTTCTTTATTTTGCAATTGAGTTGGTGTTGAAACAAAGACCGGTTTTACTTTTTTGCAAGAAAACCTTTTTAAGTCCTGTTAATTACTTCAATAAAAAAGGACAAACCTAAAAGCAGAAAAAAAAAATTATCCCTCTAAAAGATTTACATGGACCACAAATTAAGCCAATGGCGTATGGTTTAGGAAGAAGTCGGAATGGAGCAGAGTCATATTTCCGTCTTCGCCAGAATGCAAATGGGAGCCACTGGACCCCAAAGCCAACCCATCTATACTATTGGCACCACCAGGATTGGACAAAATCGGCTTTCTGGGCATGCCTGAAGGCGACATGACCATGTGAAACAGCATCAATCCTTTTTGCATTCATTTTCAGCCATTTTAACTGGTTCTCAGATTTTCTCTAGTCGGCCTCTAGATTTTAGCAATATTTGAGGATTTCAGCACGGCCTCAATAAGGTCCCTCTTGTGTCTCCCGGCAAAGTTCTTAAATAAGTAGTACTATATTAATTTTAGCAGATGTATTAGAAATTCCATTGGCTACAAATCGTTTTCTTTATGTTAGAAGTTAGGGAATTGCTTCCTTTTATTTTTAAACTCTTTTTGGGGGATAGATGAGGGGGTTATGCCAAGATTTGATCGACCCCTCTTCCATGTTTTGAAGTATCTGATTTTAGATTCTTGTTCCTCCACGGTGTGACACCATCTTCTGCCTCAGCAACAAATAGCACCTTACCATCTTTTGTCCCACATGGTCGCTGATTCTCTTGAAGTTGAAATTAGTATTTCAGCTCTACCAAAATTACTCCAGGCGAAAATTTCAAAAAAGCACTAATATCATATTCATATCAAATGCTTGTAATCTCACAAAGAAGAATAACACAAGCAAATATCATCACACACACACCAAAAAGAAAAAAGAGACTGAATCATGACTATCTCCTTCCTCGTCTGTCTCGTGAAAGCTGCTTTTTACCTATTTGAAGCTAAGAGTTCTTTCTGACAGAGTTGGAGAAGAATCAGAGGAAAAATCATTCAAAATACATATCGTCCCACCATTTCTTGCACCTTTAGTCCTAATATCCTCAATCATCCTATGCACCATGCTCATCTTTGGACGATCTTTTGGCAATGTAGCCACGCAAAGCAATGCCACTTGCATTAGACCCATCATCTCCTCTTCCATCTCCTTATCCCCTAACATCTCAAAATCAAACACCTCCCACGCCCACTCTTCTTTTCCCACGCTTTGAACCCATTTAACCAAACTTACCCCACTTTCTCCACTCACCATTTTCCCTGTCAATATCTCTAATAAGATCACCCCAAAGCTATAAACATCGCATTTTTGCGTATACTTTCTGAGGTTGCCTTCTTCACCATTATTAAGCATGAGCTCCGGGGCTTCGTAGTCATCGTTTGACAAAGATGGTGCATACAAAACTTGGCGAAGACCACAATCTGAAATACAGGCATTGCCCTGCCGATCAACTATGATATTTGATGATGTAAGGTGTCCATGAAAGATCTTGGCTTTGCTGTAACCATGGATAAAAGCTAGTCCTCGTGCAGTCCCTGAAGCTAGCTTTAACCTCGTACTCCAACTCAGCGGCGTTCTTCCGGGTCCCCTGTTTCCTGCAAAACAAATTAAGACAAAGGGAATTTATTACAGATAAAACCTTAAAAACTTGCTCAAACAGTACATGCAATTGCAATGTGACCAAAATACTAACCATGCAAGAGAGAATGCAAGCTTCCATTTGGTAAAATATCATAAACCAAAAGCAGTTCATCTTTGGAATTATAATATGCAATGAGGCTCACAATATTAGTATGCCTCAGCCCACCAAGTATTCTCAACCACCCATTAAGGTCCCTCCTCCTTCGCCTCTGCCGTACCCTCTTCACCACCACCACATCACCGCCGTCCATCACTACCTTATAAGTGGTTCCCACACTTCCTTTCCCTAACAACTCAGCCGAAGATTTCAACAAATCTCCCACTTTTCTAAAACCCTTGCACCCTTCGAACACCACCATTTCCTCCGCCTCCACATCCCGTTCTCTGGACCCACTTCGCCTTTGCAATTTGGACCCACTTTTTGTTTCTAGAACTTCCTTGTGCTCTCCACCAGAGCAACACTTGTACCGGCAGCAACACCATGTGATGGTTACCAGCGCGGCCATAACCGCCACCGCATCGACGGCGATGATCATCAGCACCACCCTATTGCTTAACCGCTTGCTTTCGGGATGATGAATCTTTTGTGTTAAGGGCGCAGGGAGAGCCGTCCGATTAAAACAATCGGACGGCAGAGGCAGGCCGCAGAGTTCCTTGTTTCCTTGGAAGGAAGAGGCAGGGACACGAGACATCCACGCGGGAATCTCGCCGGAGAGGTTGTTATCCGAAACGTTAAAGTCTAAAATAGCAGAAAACGAGGCAATTGAGTTGAGGGGTCCAGTGAACGAGTTGGACTCGAGACGGAGTGTTAACAAGTAAGGCAATTGAGTCAACTCGGTCATCGGAATTTCGCCGTGGAAATTGTTGTGTGAAAGGTCGAGCCGGTGAAGCCGCCTGAGAGTGGATATTCCGGTGGGAAATATTCCAGTGAGGAGATTTCCAGAGAGGTAAAGATGCCTTATGTAATGCCATGAAGAGAAGTTAACAGGGGTGGAAGAGAAAAGGCGGTTGTTTTTTAGGCTGAGAAGTCTTAGATGAGAAAGCTGACAAAGTGACTGAGTTGACCCAGAAAGGTTCATGTTCTCAAGAACAAGTCTTGTGACTCGGTGAGTAGTAGGGTTGCATGTGACACCATACCAAGAACCAAAGCAAGGATTTGATGAGTTAACCCAGGAGGAAAGAGAGTTTGAAGGGTCAAAAACACTGTTTTTGAAGGACAACAATGCGTTAAAATCAACACTACATTGTCCCAAAGAGAAGAACAAGAAATAAATTATGAATAACATTTTTTCTTCTCTTGCGCTTCCTTTCCTTTCCTCTGTAAGTTTCCCGGAAAAGTGAAAGGAAAAAAAAATCAACAGTCGGAGAGAATACTCAGAATAGTGGGATTGAGCGAGTGAGAGAGATAAGTAGCCGTTGATATTTGATGAGAATCGGAAAGTGGCACGTGAGAGGGGAGCGTGTGATACTCGCGCGCTTGCCATAAAAGCCAAACACGAGATTAGGCCAGGGCATGAAAGGAGCAGACATTAGAAAAGGATTAGCGTTGGGATGGTGCAATTGAGACTTCCCCGTAAATAGTAGTGTCCACAACGCCAGAGGATTCCAGCAAATTGCTGACAGCGTAAGTGCGATTGGGTTTTGTTTTGTTTTCCATTTTGTTTTTTTTCTTTCATCCGGACAAGAACCTCTGATAAAAAAATTTCCACCAACCAATCACGTTCCCTTTGCCCAACGAAATCTAAGAACCTAAATTTTACTACCAAAGACTTTTTGTTTCAGGTCAGGTGTGTACTCAAACATCTCAGACTTCAAAATATTAGTTGACACGAAATAAATAAATGCAGTATGATATTGCTAGAAATCCTGACTGAAACTTTACATAAATGGTCGAAAATTTCAAGTATTAGTTCACTCAGTCGTTGAAGTAATGCAAAAGTTACTCTCAACATGCAAAACTTACACAGTCAACGCTTTGTGTTGAACAATTACATGAATAAATCTCTAAGTTAGAATCTGAAGTCGATACATCCTTTGAAATACACGAGTAACATGCATGAGCAAAGGAGCTGAAGTTTTGTGGTGGACACCTATGCAAATTTTGTCAGCCGAACATATTAGTACAACTGTTTCTGTTCTTGATTTCTCCTTGAATTTGGTTCAATGGTAGCTGGCTATGGACCAATTCTAGATTGTCTGCCAGATCATGGTCAGACAATCTAATAGTACAATTTGCCAGGCCATGTGTCACGGACGCACATTCTTTAAATCGAAATCACGTATCTGTGTAGCATCAAGACTTTTTCATAATCGACCTCAACCTTTCGCGAATTAATTTTTTCATGGTCAGTTCGATATCGATCCTCTAAACAGCTAATTCATGAGTCTTTTTTTTGTTCTAATCATGTAAGGTTACACATTCTTAAACTTAATAAGGAGGAATCCAATTCCCCTCAACTCATCAGTCTACAATTCTTAAAATACATCTAAACATCTATTTTTAACCGTAAACATCAAAGTTTCAAGCATCGACCTGTTTAGTTTATAAGGACGCACATCTTAAGTTCTCGTAATATTATCTCATTTTCACATGATGAGAATCCAATATAATACTTGCTTGCATCATATGCAAGATCTCGTGCCTAGATTCCGAAAGCACAACTCAAATGTTGGTTAGTAGTCAATCCGGAGCTATACTAAGCTCATCTCGTCTCACAAACTCATATCTCAGGCTCACAAACCCTTAGCCTCATTTTCAGACTACCCACATCCATGATGAACACTCAATGTCATGCTTGTCTCATCTCGGGGAGCTCGAGTGTGCTACTCGCTTGCAGCACACCTCTACCAATTGACCACAAGGGTCTAGCAATGTATCTGCCTACCAACTTGCTCATCCCTTAGGCTCGATGGTATCTCACTTACGCAAACATCATCTCATAATCCTTTCGACTTAAGAAGGGGAAACTGAGAAGCATAGCAAATGTTACCGTCTAACCTTATGTTTCAATGTAATGGCGCCATAAGAAGCCCACCGACCCTAACCGTCTCTGGGTTTTTTATGACCTAAGGAGACACCGTGATACACTCATAATCTGATGATGATTGACCACATAGATACCACATGTACTTAGGAGTAGTTCATTTCAAATTAATCAGACCTCCACTTACCCGCTAGCGAGGGAATAGTGGAGAACTAACACAACGTCCCCTTATAATGAAGGTAAGAGCCTTTCTTCACCTATAACAAGTAACTCTTACAAGTAACCATACGAATATTTGAAATGAGAATATTTTTCTCCCAATTATCTCAGTCTTTTTTCACCCAACTCGGACTCAATGACCTTCCTCTTAGTCACCATAATTTCAACATTTCACTTGTTGCTTCATCAACTAACTCGAAAGTACACACACATGACTCCAATCGACAGCACCCAACTAGCTAATCAACTTCAAGGCATCGGTCCATTGACTCGCACTTGTTCGCATATCTTGAGGCCTAAGACTTACACTGTCAATACACAATATTAGTAACATATTTTCATGCTTAAAATATTCGCACATGGCTTCAAAACTACTGTCCCAACAATAAGATTTCATCCGCTACTCAGCTCAAGATCAATTATGATAGGATCGAGACACCAGAGCCTGACTATGACACCAAGTCTGCTGAGGGAAAGCTCTACAGCCCGGCTGACGTTTTCGATGCAGATACTTGCCACCAACGATTTGGCACCTCTAAGCTATTCTGAAATCTGGTTACATATTAATCCAGTCCAAATACAAGAAGGTCCACGAGACAGGCCCAGACTGTCAAAACTCGAGTAGTAGTTGACACGATCTCTCTCTTCCCTTTGTCATTTGCAATGGGTTGCAGTTTCTTTTTAGTGCTTAGCCGAATAAAAGGGTGTAAGAATCTTGTGTTTCCCCCTCCAAGCAATCAACTCGGTAACAACTCAACTAGTAGTAAAATTTATTGATCTAAAACCGCCTTTTTAACTTACCAAAGACAAACCAAAAGGTCTAAATTCATAATCCTAGTCAAGCTCAGTGGGATTTGAGCACTTGTGATCATAAAGAAATGTTTGCAACTATCTGACAAAATTCCAACTGCCCCTGTCTAAGCAGGCCTATAGCACACAGAAACCACGTGCACACGAATTTACTCCCTTTCCCCATCAATTGATGCACTTGAAAACATTAATTATCAAATCATAATAGTAGTTTATAAGATTGATAAGTCTCATCCTTGCCCCTTTTTATGCTTAATAAAAAGAAAAAAAAAACTTTTAATGATATCCATAACTCATAAGACAGTCAATCTGTGCATTCACTAAAACCTAACTCAATTTGAAGAACAGATTTTAAGAAACTTAATTTGATGCATCTGTATTCTAAACTAAATTCAATTAGTTCATTTTATAACCTTCTAAAAGAAAAATGCATTCAACAATTTTGAAAACACAAGTGATTAGTTCAATTTTAAATTTTAATACATACAATTTTTTTTGTATTTTTGAATTTAGAAAAAAAAAATGATGGACGCTTGACAGCTTCATTTGCCGCAGCATAAATTATATATGGTTAAACTCTACCGACAATGTCAAACTGAAAAAATGGGAATTGGGATTATGGGAACTGAAACACAAGTAACTGGCAGATTGCAAGTTGCCACACCATGATTTTTCTGCCGGTACTTTTAACTTTCTTCTGCATGGAACCGTTTGAATTCAGATTCACGGCAAGCAAGAGAAAAACCATTGATTTCAGTAAATTCTAAAACCATAAAAAAGTCATCAAATTTAACCTCAGTAATATATGATTGGACTGCTTCGCCAGGGAATGCCAAGCACATTATTTTACTGCCAAAAGCAAAAGCCAAATCCCTTGTCAGTTTTCCCTGTATGCCGCTTCTCACTTTCTCCTAAAAGAGCCAAAAAGCATTAACTCATATACCTTTTTAAAAAGTTTTTAACACGAAGAGCTTGTCATTTGCTTGATTAGATTGTAATGGCTACTTAATTTTTTTTATGTTGATTAAAAAACAGTGCAAAACTAAACCAACAATGAAAACAAAATGAGTAGAGCAAAGTTACAGTGATGGTGAAAATAATATTTCATATAATTGATAGTAATTCTTAAGGTATTATCACATTGCATTCATGAAATAAAAATGAAAATCCAAAATCACTTGCAACACCAGGACTATATAAAAATCTTCAAAAAGAAAAAGAAAAAAAAAAAAACTAATTTCAACATCTTGTTCTTCAGAGACTTCAGCCTCTCCTCTCTAAATTTACTAACAATGAATCCCTGAATTGATTCTTGAATTGTTTCATGACATTTTTTGGCCATATCTTTTGCAAACCCCAAAAAAAGGTTAAAAAAAAACCAAAAGAGTTGAAAAAGTGAAGAAAAAAATATAAGGAAAATATAAGGAAATAAAACAATTGGGATTTGAGAGAGTGTGCTCTCAAAAAGTCCATTTCCAGATCTTGATCCGGAGATCAACCTTGCACTTGGCCCCAGACACATTAGCGACCGACGGTGTCTTACCCTTTGGTACAACCCCTTCAATCCCATCACACATAACCCTAATCCCAACTTTCTTGCTCTTCAATCCACCCATTTGCACTGTCACTCTAGTATCCATCTGAACTTTCAACAAGATCCCATTTTTCTTCTTCAGATCCGGTCTTAAGTTGTTGACTGTATCTGCATCTAGATCACTTGATGTCGTTACCACAACTCCCCTGAAAGTTGTCTCATTTTTTGTGTTACTGACGAAAGCTGGCAAGGTTCCGTTGCCTATAAAAACATCACTGTTGCTTGATACGCATGAAAGGACAAAAGGGTCGTAAGAGAAGGAAAGATGGGAGTTGGGGTTTTTGGAAGAAAGGGTTAAGTTGAAAAGGGTTGAGAGATGGGAGGAGGTGGAGTCGGCGGTGGTTGTAAGGTTTAAACGGTGGATACGGAGGGAAGCAAGGGTAAAAGAGGGACGGTGAGGGCGGTAAAGGACGTAAAGGACAGTGCCAGTTATGGCAACTAAAAGCGCAAGTATGAGAATTATGACGATGGTCCAGAAACAACAGCAGCAACAATAGTTCCGCCGTGGACGATGGTGGTGACGACGGTGATGGGGTTGTGGACGGTATGGTGGACGAGAAGTGGGGTTATAAAGGTGGGATTTTGTAGTTCCACCGTTGGTTGTAGCGGTTGTAGTAGCCGCGGCTCCACCAGTGCCGCCGTTGGCGGTAGTTGGAGCAGCAGTGGCAGTGGGTTTGGAGGAAGGGAAGACTTTTTCTGACATGGTTTAGAAAAAAAAAAAAAACAGAGTACCAGTTGTAGGGCTTTTGGAAGAGAAAGGGGGAGTGAAGGGTGAGATTTACAAAGAGAGAATGTGTGAATTTGAGGAGAGGAATTGAAGAGAAAGGAGAGTTACTCTCCACCCAATAGAGGATGTTGCCACCTCACCACATTTAGAATCTTTTTTTTTTTTTTTTTATGACTGTAAAAATTTTAGCTTTACAAACTTCAATGTCCAAAGGAACACCTCACACGGTCGCTGGTTATATTTTTTTTAGATCACCAACTATCAGAAAAATGGGGTCCACTTTTTCTGTGGTTGGAGATTTTAGATCAGACGGTTTAGAGTAGTTTGATCTGATGGTTCACGAAATTGCCCTAGCTGTCTCTAGACATTTGTTCTAACATTTTTTTTGGCGGGGGGGTGGGGTGGGGGAAGGTTAAGAAGAAGAGAAGAAGCTTGATTTTTAATGATTTTTATGTGCATTTGAACAAATTAAAATTCCTTTAATTTTTTTAAGTTGTTTTTTATTATGTCTAAAAGGATAGACCAATGAAGGAATATTTCATTGACCATTAATGTGATTTGTTAAGGAAACATTCATAAATTTAAAATTCAAAATTTAATATTTATAATTTGTATATCATTATATTATAAAAAAATCAGTAAAAAAAAAAAAAAAAAGTGGAGTAAAATGGAAATACAGATATTAATTAATACAATAGAAAGAGTGTTGGAGACATTGAATTTAAAGACCAGACGGCTAAACAGTGAAGTAAATAAAGATGTACCAAATCTCAAACCTGTTCCAAATAAAGGAAATAGGAAGGCCACCGACGAGTCTGGCCTCTGTAGTAGGTAAGGTTACAAATGCAAAAGATTGATGCATAGAGAAAACTTAATTAGTAGGTAAATGATCCAAATCAACCCAGTTGCATTAACTTAAAACCCAAGTCAATAATTAATGACCTGTTAATTCAGTGTTATTAAACATCAATTTCAAAATTGAGAATATGAATTGAAACTCCAATCATAAGTTTAAAAAATAAATAGGTCAATAATTACTTCATTAATTAAGAATGGAGATTGGAGGATCTTTACATTAATCTAGTAATTAATTTTATAAAATAAAAGGGGGGACAGCCATAATTATGAAGATTTTGCATTGATGGAATGATGAATTTTGTACTTTCCTTGGTGACAGTTTTATCTCAAGGATATTATTTCGGGGGAAGAGCCAGGCAGACCTTCATAAATAATATAATACTTAATAAAAAACCACCAAAAAAAACCAAAGGAGCTGGAAAATTAGAAATGTTATGTATTGATCTTGGGTTAGTTCAGACATGAAATAGGTAAAGATGATTATCTTCATTCTTGTCATGTGGGTCATGTTTTTTGACTTGAATGAACATTGTAGTAAACTTTGAGTCTTTTTTTTTTTTTTTGGAGGGGGGGGGGGGGGGTTGGGTTGGAGTTGGACAAGGCCATTTCATCCATATCTTTGATTTTACATGTACGTCAAGAAATGGGGAATAAGCCAATAGGAAGATCGAACCTATCTTTCATGCTTCACTTTCAGATTTCCCTACCAAATTACTATTTTTTTTCTTTTTTTACTTATATTGTTTCATTTCTAAGTTAATTATAATTCCAGCTACATCATTTAATTTTAAGGCATAAATATAAGTATAGCAACCGAGGTATATGGACATAAGACTTGTGTCCAAAGAAGAACAGTTTGCATGAGGAGCGTATGTATGTATGCATGTCGCCTAAACACATTTCATGTTAAGCATGTGGCAAGAAATTTTTTATGTCGATTTCCCATTGCCATGATCATATATTTTTAATGAAATTAATCATAAGGACATTCACAACGAGGTTGACATTCCAGATATCATCCACCGTCAAACCCTCATGAACATACTAGTGATTACTCATTTGAATCTGCTTTGATTAACCAGTCATCCAACAACCTCATTCCCCATAGAAACTAGGAAAAGAAAAAGGATGAAAATGCGGAAATTCTCTTTCTATGAAAGAAAACTTTGATCATTTGAGCATATATGACTTTTTCAGGAAAAAGTTACAATCCATGAGTGCTATAGGGTTCTGTTATGCAAAAAGACGATTAACCATCTCTGAATCAAGTTTCTAGAATCAGAAAATTAAGATTTTGATCGATTTGACAAACTGCTACATGTAGGCCATTAACATGTTCAGTAAGTTCCTAGAATAGCTCCAAAAGCTGTTACCAATATCATCAGTCACTAGGTGAGTGTAATTCATGTCACATTATAAGTAAGGGGAAGAAGGAGATACAATGATAGCAAAATGTGCACTACACTATGGCCATGATTTCACCCCCACAAAATGACATGGTAAGGCAACATCACAACTCAGTCAAAACACAACAAAGCCATCATGTGCAAATTTAGAATGGTATGATGGTTGAAAGATTCCACTTGCCTTCATTCTTGGAGGATTCAGAGCAATGCAGAAAGCATGGGAGAAGAAATCTTGTCAAGTTCTTCATTGGCAGCAACTTCTAAATGGTAATTGTATCACTTGTCACTTTTGATGATTCTTAACATAAAAAATTTCTCAGGCACTCCAAATGTTGCCCTGGCAATGCCTTCATCCACTTTGGATTCTTCATCAGGGACATTCTTTGATTTCACCTAATCTGTCATGAGCTCCATTAACAAGTAAGAAAAAAGAAAACTTTTTCTGCAAGTCATCAGCAAGCATATGTAATTCATACAAAGATCAAATATTTAACAGCACATCTTGAACTTGATCCTCACATTGTAGTTAAAATGACGATGTTCTACTCTAATAATTTTTAACACAAAAGTAGATTGGATACCCAATGTCAAGAAGTATGGAGAAACAAAATGAAACACATTGAGAACCCTAACAGACACGCAAATTTTATAATAACACTTCCAAAAAACATGCATTTCAATCATTACATTTGGATTTGGGACAAGCCTTTTTACATGAAATATTAAATTGCCTCCAATGATTTCCATCCCAAACCATAAAATTTGAATACCTCTGATATCTGCTGCTCCTCTGCATGAGCATAACTGTAACCAGAATGGGGGCAATTGCTGAGCACAGGTGCTCCAAGGAGTGTCCGCTGATAATATAATTATTTGCACGGTATATTTTCATGTCAGCGAGAGCTTCCATTTTGGCTATGATGCAAACCCCTGTATCAGATGGTTTTCAGACTTTTAAGTAAGCCAACTTTCTTGAAAGTGAGGAAAGAAAATACTATGAATTGCTGATGCTTTTCAAAAACTGAGAGAGGGAGAGAGAGTTAAATGCCATAAAGATAAAAGAAAATTATGCAAAGGGGCAAAGACAATTATTTGACAACTCCATATCTTCCACGAAGGGCTTCCACTTCAAGCTCAGCCAAATTTGCCTTGGAAATGGATAAATAAAAAAAATCCAACACCGGAACCTTCTCCATATCTAGTCGAGAAAAATTACAAGAAAAAGTATCACTGCAATGCACACACCTACAGCCCTGTAATGCCTTCTCCCTTCCCCAACCCTAAATTAATATGATACCTGCATGGTCCTTGAGAGTTTCATCAAATTTGGACCAGGGTTTTACTTGGTAAAAATAATTATTTATCAGGAGAAGGGCAAAGGGACTGCTCTTGCGACTGCTGTTCTACTTCATAATGTGCACAAAACCACAAACACTTTGAATTCAAATGCATTCAGATAATAGGTTATACAACAGCTAAGGTATATATTTATACAATTTAATCAAAAGGCCAAATCTTTCTGTTTAGCATTCGGCTTTGCTCTGGTACCATGAATCCTGCCTCAAGTAAAATTGAGTCTTTTGACTATAGAGGACCTACCCTCCCTATGTAGGTGCCTTATATTTGGTAAAACCATGGGGTTCAAAGCCCAAATTGAGCTACACCTCAGATGAGCCATGGAACAAACCCCAGTGTACTCATAAGTGTCATTTGTGGAAATCCATGGCTGTACACAGATTCCCTCAACTGAAGAAGGGTATGGTGGTGTAAGAAAGAGAATCATGAATCTACCATTCGGTGGAGTTGAGGGATGTCTCTCAACTTATGACGACAAACATTGCCAACTCTCTTGACTTATGAGGACCAACATTGCCAACATGAGACCCCCCTTTGGAGGACAAAATTGTGAAACCTATAGGCCAAAGTAGACAATGCCACACAAGTCACAACGAAAACCCCATTGTACAATCCTTTCTATGTAAATGCATTGAGAGCTTGAGTTATGACAATCACTCGCCAGCAAAGGAGGCATATATACCATGCAGCTCCTAATATGCAAATACACATATGGACATACTAAACCAAAATTCCTAACCCTTTTTCCCTACGATTATTCCCTTTAAGTGGGATTTCTATGCGAGCCTTGGTGCACACTGTCATCATATAAGTTGGTCCTTACTTTATTACCCCTTCCACTTGATTAGCATAGTTGCTAACATACAAAAGGACCACTCAGACAAAGGCATAAAGCCAAAAATAGGAACTTGAATGTGTTTTTTCTTAAATAAATAGAATGGAATGAGAGGGAGAGAGAGAGATGACATACCTGATATCCAAAGCCAGTATCTTGAGTGCGTATATTTAGGCGGGAACAAAAATGTCATGATTGGAATAGCTATGCACGGAATTAACTGGAATGTCATGCACAACCGAAGATCATTAAATGTTCTGCAAAGAACTAGCAAGTCATATTCAGCCAAAACACATTGAAATTTGAGTGACAAGCTTCAACCAATTAAAAAAAGAGATAAAATAGAAAATTTCAAACAAGAACCCAACCTTGCATAACTTGTGCTTAGAACTGCAAGAACCAACAGTGAAAACATGCAGCTCAATCCAATCCTCTCTCCGAGTCTTTCAAGTATAAAACTAGAGAAAAGTGAGGAATATGCAATCATCATCTGCAATTTGTGAATTAAATTAAAAGTACAATATATATTAATATTAACATCAAGTCAACAGAAATAAGGCAGTCAAATTTCAAATGACCATTGGTTATTGATAAAATTGAATGGACAGTCATCTGCAGGTTCTGACTCTTTTTCAATCAAAACACAGCAATAGCTACAAAGCAGTGAAATTTCAACTATTTGGCTATTGGCAATATAAGAAGTGAATAATAAAACAAAATGTTAAAGTTCATCTTTTCAACTATGGCAAATAGTTGTGTTAGGCACAACAGTTGAGTTAAGGGCATAGCTTCTACATTCTAATAAAACTGTTAACCGTCACCACTTAGAAAAAGTTGCTACCTCCAACATCATTTCCCCAAAAATTTAAACTTAGAGAATAATTGAAACAACAATCAAAAACTGAAAGTAAAAATTCAAACTTTGAAAATCATAGAAACAACAATCCAAAATGAAAGTTAAATAAATAAATATGTAAATTTGCAATGCTAACCGGCAAGGTGTCCAACATTACTCTATTGTCATCAGGCCTAAGATGATAATAAGCTGAACCAAAAGCCACACTTACAATCGCTCCATAGAAAAGCACCCAACCCCACACCTCTCCTCTCAATCTGCAACCAAACCAGTGTCTGAAAACGTCAGTTATTCACCCAATGATCACAAAAATTTAACCTTTTCAACTTAAAGACATCAAGAAAATAAGAAAAAGAACCTTATGTTAAAAAAGCTTCCTCCTCCCAGGCAAAGCACAAACCCCAGAACACCCACAATCAGAAAAGGGAAATTGGTGATCACATTCAACGTGTTAGGAACTCCTATAGATAAAACAAAGAACACCCAGATGGAACAAAGCCACAGGTTATGCACGTGATCAAATGAGGTAGCATGACAGAGAAATAAAAGGTTTAAAACAAGGGATACCTAGGAAATTCCGCATGTCAGCGTAGAGATGGTTCCGATAAGAAAGTGGGATTTTAGGAGTAACCAACATGATGAAAAGCCAACAAAGAAATGTAACTCCCCATATTCGAGTTCTTCTTCCTCTTGTTACCTGTTGATTTACCATCCAAACCATGCTTTCCTCTTTTTCTTTGAAAGAAAAGCTGTTCACTTTTCCCTCTCTGTTTCCTCTGTTTTACTTTCTTGTGTTTGGTTCTTCCGTTACTTGCTCTCTACTGGGGGAATCCAATTGTCGTTGTGTTCGATTTTGCATTTGTTTTCATTCCATCAGACGATGTTTCATATGTCCTCCGTTACTCCCTACTTGGGCTTTTTCGGCCTTTTTATTTCATACTGTTTTCAGGTTACTTGGACCTGAAAATAGGATCCAAGGAAACCCATTTTTTTCCTTTCTCGATAGATACAAATGAAGGCCCAATGCTGATTCTTCATGCTGACCAATTCGGCAATTTCTGGTGGTTTATGGCAACTTTCCTCAAGTCGGCCGTTCAAATGAAAAAGGCTTGGCTTTCACATCAATTAGAACAGCCCTTTTTTGTTCTCATGCAGTGAGTTCTTATGCTTAAAGAGGAAAAAAAATAGAAGGTTGAACAGCCAACTTGCCATGTTCTACAACTTTACACTTTCCCAGTTTTGCTTATTTTATTTTTATTATTACATAATGATTGCTAGACCTCTGTCATAACCAAAACTGACTAGTTAATTTTCCAGTGCTATTACTCCAAAATCAGCCCCTTTCTGAACCGACAAGCAAGCACATTAAAATTGTTATCAAGTGACATTGTTGTGAATTGTGATAAGATGTAGCCTTCTTTATTATTGCTTGGCTAACCAAAGGAGCAAGCAACCTTCTAGTTTCTCCATGTCATTACATCAGAAGATCTAGGTACTCGATCCTTTCTCTGAACCAATTCATATGACCAAAGAACAAAGGAGATAGGGAATGGGCGTTGGATACTCTGAAATCAAAACTGTGAAAGACAATATGGGGTCAATTAATGTTGATTTGACGTCATTTCATCTCTTAAGATGACTTAAACTAGTCAGTAGTCATAGCAAATAGATTGATGGCTGTGGATGATATGGAACCACTTTCATTCAAAAAGAAGCACAAGATCATATTGCTATGAAAAAAGAGCTAATGTCACTTATAAAGAAAGAATCACAAACAAGATCCCAAATGCCCAAAATTCAACTTGACTGGTGTTTAATGGCTTAATAAAAGCTTCATTTTGGAAAAAATTTGGTAATTGGCAACTCCCTCCCCATTACATTAAAATCCTTGCTTTACATGCACGTTGAATTGGGTGTTAATGCATAGTACCCAAGCAAAATCTCCCACGTGCAGCACAGCCAAGCACCTGCACAGATGGGATCAACATTATGTGGACAAACAAATTTAACAAAACTCCTTTTACCAAATCGCCCCATCGCCTTGACCCCCCTTTCTGTCTCTTTCAACCAACAAACGTGGGCATTTTAGTAACACTGCCTCTCCGCTGCAAAACAATTCCTTCTCCTTCCACTTTTCCCAGTTCCAGAGTTGAACAGACAAGCTTCACAGTTCAGTCTTGTCTGAAATCACTAAAATATCCTTACATTGTTTGTTAGCACTTGGCAGAGGCCAGAGAACACCAAAAAGCTAATGACTAGGAATGGCAATGCAACAATCATATGACTCATGAACCGGTATGGAAATTAATGGATATAAGCCTGGAGAATGAGCAAAACAACCTAAACGCCATTGAAAGGAAAAGGAAAAAAAATGACAGTGCCATGTTTTTGAACAGAAAGTTCAACAGACGTAAACAGTAGAAGTAGATCTCCACTTACATTACACCCCAATAATTAAACGCCGAAATTAACCACGAAAGGGGTTGAAAATCTAAGCTTCCCCCACGAAAAATTTCAAATTTACTTCACCTTCCACTCCCTCTATTCACCATCTCCTTTTTCCTCAGGATGGAATCAATCCTTTGCAACTTCAACTGCTGCTTAAACTTGTTGATAAAATCATCAGCTTTGGCATCCACCTCCTCATCTTCCTCCGTAGCTTTAGCCTTCCCTTCCCTCACAGTAGCTGGCCGTCGAGTTTCCACGATGTCCTCTTCCTCCAAATGCGAAAAGGCAGATTTAACACTCGCAGATTTCCTCATCTTCCTTGGAAGCTTAGTTGGTACCTCCCCACTTGCTGGTTTGGTGTCGGATTTGGTCCTGCTAACATGAGCATCCTTCAGCTGACCGTATATTTCATCAAGGGTTTGCTCTTGACCTTGGGTTCCCTCATCTTCCTCTTCTTTGGCTTCTTCCTGATTTACCCCTACTTGGTTTTCTTCTTCTTCTTTTTCTTCGGGTTCTTGTACTTGTTCATATTCTTCCTCAGGAGGTTGCTCTGGAGTGTAATGGGAGTAAATTTCTTGATTTTTGTGCAAGGTGGTCTGCTCTGGGGAGAAGTAACTATAGAGCTTAATAGACTTAAACCTTTGCAAAACAGAAGGAGATCTATCAAGGTAAAGCTGTTGCTGCCTTTGGTCTTGTTCAAGGGTGGTTTGTTGTTGAAAAGAGAAATGGAAATCGCCAGCGACATCTGGGACTTTCTCATAGACAGTGGCAGTAACAGGTTCTTGTTCTTGGGATCTATAAGAATACCAGTTGATAGATTTCAACCTTTGTAAAACAGATGGAGATCTAACAAGTTTTGGGTTGGTTTCATCTCCTTCCTGTCTTTGCCCTTCATCAGCACGAACAGACTTGTTAGAAGCCAAACTGGAAGTAAAATAAATGGTACCAATTGTAAGGTTGAGGAACACGAAGAAAACAGCAGGAGTAAACCAGCTGAATATGGAAGCCCAGATAGAAGAAGGTACAGTCGACATTGATTCTTGCAACATGGCTTTGCTTTCTTCTTTCTTGCTAAGAGAACAAAAAATAAATAAATAAATAAAAAGAGAAAGACAAGGGCACCAAGGAAAGGATAGAGAGTGGGAGGGTCAAGTGAAGGCCATTGCATATCAGACACCTTTTATCTTTTAGTTTTTATATTTTTGGGAAGGACCGACTCCATTTTTGGTTTTTATATATATATATATATATATATATATTTAGGGGTTTTTTTTTTTAAGAGGATTTAGAAGGGCAATGGCTAGGGAGTGAATAGATCTGTAAGAAAGGGACAAAAGAGAAGAAAGGGGTTACTGGCTTTGGTGGGAGTGTGAGTAAAGGCTGTGGCTGCCTCTCATTAAAAGGAAGCTGGCAGGGATGGCATTTACATCTCACTTTTAAAACGACGGCGTTTCAACAATTTATTTATTTCACTACTGTTATTTTGTTTTTACTACCACTACTTTCTCATATTTATATTCTTATTATTATCTTTAACAAGTGATGAAATGGGTTTTAGTTGTACTTTGTCTTTGCCATTGATTATCCAACTTGTACGTTGAACAAAGAACTAAATATTTGTTGAGGTTATGTTTATTTCAAAAAAATAAAGGCTAATTATTTGTTTTATTTCATGTTCTTTCCTTTTTTTTTTTTAATTTTAATGTTTGAAAGCAAAATTATTGACCTTCTAAACCTAATGTCATACCGTATAACTGATAATTTTTTTCAATCTCTTAAACAATAACTTTTTCACATAAAAAATGATAAAATATTTTTAATGGGCTCCAAATATCAACATGTTTATAATTTTGTCATTTGAGCTTTAATAAAATAAAAAAAGGCACTATTTATGTTTTTTTTTTAAGTTAATATTAATCTAAATCAACTAACATAGTACAAAAGAATTAAATAAAAATTATGTTAAGTAAGTAGATGTCTAAATCCAAAATTGTAATGTAACGTAACATCTTACCTACTCTTTTGAAATTTTGCTCCAACACATGGGAGGCTAGATTTTCGGCTTTGGGACAAGACGCATCTCTTGTTTCGATAGAAGGAAAGGGGTATGGCTGTTAATTGCTGTCGCCAAAAGAGTTGAGAGATGATAGTCCAAAAAATGCATGGTTTCAATGATTGGTTATGTCCAAATATTTCAAATATGTGTGTGAACCATTTGATTTTACTTTAAAACAAAAAGGCAAGTTCGAATCTTCTATTTTCTCAAATAAAGAATATTATTAATTAATTTTAAATTAAAAGTTTTTTTTCTTACATTTTTTTTTTTTTTTTTTTGAGAAAGAACGGTTCAAGTTCAAATTTTAAACAAAATATACACAAACATCTATCACTGAATGAGGCCATGGGCCATTAAATCAGGTTATATATAATGAGGCCCAAATGAAAATGATTCGATGAAACTAAAATAAGCTGATTGTACTCGGATACTTTTTTGTATCTTATTGGGCCGCACCAATCGCTAAATTGGGCTTTTTTCTTTTACCAGTTTAACTAAGAGTCCAACTTCAACGAGTAGAAGGAGATTTCAACTTTACCAAAATCACATCTAAAACTTTACATGACAAAGAGTATGATTTTATCTTTGGCTTATGATTTTATTATCATACCCCTCACTACCCTTTTTCAAACCACAAAATTTTTTTTAAAATTTATAATTTAAGGATAAAAAATGTTATAGTCGTTGAAATTTAAAATTAAGAATTATTAAATATTATATTTTAAGATAATTATATAAATTAATTGAATTAAAATTTTGAATTCAAAAAATTAAAAATTTTAATTTCATAGAAAAAGTCACGAGATGTCCATATCCTAAGACACCATTGTTTTCTGAATATTATTCCTGCATCCCATAGACACTTAGATCATATGAAATAGGATTTGTTTGCTTACACTATGTTCACGTTTAGCACAAAAATATTATTCATTACGGTCTAATTGTAATCTTTTAGTCACGTATAGAGATGGTAACGGATTAAGTCAAGATAAATTTTAATTTGTCTCAAATTCAACTTAATTTTATATTAACGATATTTGAATCTAATTCGATTATATAATTATAATATTTAAATCCAATTTTTTTAATTTTTGTATACTTAAATTGAACTCAACTCGATTCAATATTATACAAAATCATATTTGATTTGATCTAACCCAAAATTAATAAAATATTATTTTTTAACATAAATATAAAATTAAATAAATATAAATAATATATAAATATAAAATAAAAAATTATATATATCAAGTCAGATCGAGATGAATTTGTCTAAAATTCGACTCCAACTTTATTTTATAATTACTTGACTTTACTCGATTTAAAACTCAATTTTAAAAAATTGATCTTAAAAAATCAAATTGGGTCAAAACTCATTAAACACAAATTGAACTGTCGTTTTTATGCATATAAACATATACAAAAAAAGTGAAAAATATTAAGTAAAATAAATACTTTTTTTTTCAAAATATATTTGTATCTTACATTTAATACAAGTACTAATTTTACAAGCAAACAAATAAAAAAAGTCAATTGAGTATAATTTTGTAGTTTGAAATTTTTTAAATATAATATTTTAAAAATAACTATATGAATTTAAATTATAGTCCAAATTCAATTGAATGCTAATTTAAACAGCATGTACGGGCTATGCATACATATATAAACCTACACAAAAATAGTGAAATTTTAAATAGAATTAATGCTTTTGTATCCCAAAATAGAATAAATGCTTACTTTTATATAATGTTTGGATAAATATTAATAAAAAAAAGAAAGAAAAAAAAAAAAATTTAAAATAAAAGAAATGATATATATACTTATTATTTGAATAATTAAAATTAATAAAATAAAATAAGAAAAATAATTCTTACAATTATTGTTTTGATAAATAATAAAAAGGAAAAAAATGATTTATTATAATAAATTTATTAATTATAACATTTTATTGTATGTAATTTTAGAATACTATTGAATTATGATATATTTATCATATTGTATGATCTCATAATTATTGTTATATCAATAGTTTTTAATAAAGTAAATAAAAAGATGTTTTATAAATACATATTAATAGATTTTTTAACTATTATCAAAATTTTAATATACTATTACTTTGACGATGTATCCATATAAAAACTATTAAATATAAAAAAATATAATCACATAAAAATATTATAGATAAGCAAATTATATGTCATTTTTGCTCTAAACAAAAAGTAATAATATATCATCGTATAGTTATCTAACATAAATTTATTTTACCAAAAAGAGATTATTTTAAAAAAATTATGTGATGTGGTTAAGTTTTTTAAACTAAATTTTTAATATTAATAAAAAGATAGATATAATAATATTTTTTATAAAAATAAATTTTGTTTAACTTTTCTTTTCTTAATTTTTTCTTAAAATTGAGGTATTAAAAAGTAAGAATTATAAAAAAAAAAAACTAAAAATTATTGAATTTTCATTTTTTAAATTTAAAATTTAAAATTTTTATTATTTTATATTTTATTTTCTTTATTTTTCCCTTCTCTTCTATCCAAATGTCATCTTTTCTTTCTTGAAATATATTCTTCCCCTAAATCGCGCTAATTTCAGAGGCAAAATTTTGATAGCATACTGATTTAGATGACATGTATACGGAAAAAGATTTTAAAAACTTAAATAATAGTTTTTAAGTGAATAAAATAAGAGTTAAATGTAAAGTAAAATTAAAAAAAAAAATGTTAGCATCTTAGTATTATATATATATATAAAAAAAAAGAAAGAAGGGAAACCGACGGCGACGCGGAAACAAAAGAAAGATTTAGAAACAATGTCGACATAGTCGCACCCATATTTTAACGAAAGGTCACAACTGTAGACGCCACCTCTTCATGGAGTTTGCCTTTTCGTCCAACAATGTCGACACTCTCTCCTTATTCGCCTTTCTTTATATGTTGTCCCGTCTTCCTTTCTCTGGTTTCCATGCCTTTGTCCAATCATTTATTACTTCAACTTTAACATCTCATCATCATCAACACTACCATCATCCCTTCGATCTCTTTTTGTTGGTCCTTTTGATTGTTATACGTGTTACTATTCGTCCTTCTTCTTCGTCACTTTGATTTGTCATTTGTCATCGTAAAACTAACAAAAGAAAAGAGAAAAACCTTCCCTTTCTTCCTAGTTATATATATATTGAACCCACCACCAACTTTACTTTATATTTTCTCTTCCCATGTTTCTCATCGAGGTAGCGTCTTGCGATTCAAAACACTTCATTTATTGTCTCGATTTTTTTTTTATTCTTTGTGTTTACTGTTATTATTTTTTATGTCAGGATATATGGCCTCTGCTTTGCCTTGATCGTTTCGGATCAAAGACTAGGCTTTTCTCAGGTAATTTTCAATACCTTTTGTTTGTTCTCTGTTTCTGTGGTTGTTGACTGGTGTAAAACGTTCCAAAGGGATTTTGGATTCTGGGATTTCATGATTCAATCCAATTGAGCTACGATGATAAAAGTTCTTCAATTGGGTGGAAATTTAATCACTTTCAATCTTTTTAGAAAGTTGTCGACTTTTGTCAAAATTCTTCAATTGGGTGGAAATTTTATCAGTATCAATAGTTTTTTTCGTTGTTTTACTTAGTTCTGATTGATTATTATTCGATTGAAAAAAAAAAAAAAACAGAGTCCCTTTTTCAGACAATAGCCGATTCAATGAGCAACACAAGCTGCGAATCCTCGGACCTAGAGGTTTGTCGTGACGAATCAGCCGCCTTGAAGTTAAAGCTCATAGGCATAGCCTCAATCCTCCTCGCAGGAGTTGCTGGCATTGCTATTCCATTCATAGGCAGGCACCGTAAGTTCCTCCATACAGAGGGGAGCCTCTTTTTTGCCGCCAAGGCATTTGCAGCTGGCGTAATTCTTGCTACTGGCTTTGTCCACATGCTCTCTGGTGGTAATGAAGCTCTTACGGATCCTTGCTTACCAAAATACCCTTGGTCAAAGTTCCCATTTCCGGGGTTCTTTGCTATGATTGCTACTTTGGTTACTTTGCTCGTGGATTTTGTGGGAACTCAATATTACGAGAGGAAACAAGGTTTGGCTAGAGGAAGTACTGAAGAGCAGGGTAGAGTCGGGTCGTTAGAGGCGGATTCAGAGTCTGGGATAGTGCCTGATGTGGAAGGGAAGGATTGGAATGGGAAGGTTTTTGGGGAAGAGGATGGTGGCGGCATGCACATTGTTGGGATGCATGCGCATGCAGCACATCATAGGCATAGTCATCCACATGGACAAGATGGCTGTGATGGGCTACTGAGGAGTCGTGGACATGAAGATGACCATGGACATGGGCATAGTCATGGACATGAACATGGCTTTGGAGGTGGGGATGATGATAGCGGAATTAGGCACGTCGTTGTTTCCCAGGTAATTTATTTCTTAAAACTTTTGTCTTTCTTTATTTCAGTGTGCTTTGCGTTGAGTTTATTTCTGTGATGTTTCGAACTAAATTACTGCTATTTGTTGTGGTTATGCTTGCTTGAGGTGGGTTAAAATTTGCCTTAATGCCGTATGAGCAAGCGATTTGACCTACTAGAATTTTGTTCGTCATGAGGGACCCTCACATGTTTCTTTTTTCTTTTGGCCAAAGAAACGGAATCTGAGAATGGATAGTCAACTATCAACAGGTTTTGGGGTTTGAGACTTTTGGGGATCTACTTGGATTTACGGCTTTACTAGTTGGTTCTCAACTTGTCATTGGGAAAAAAATGACAATCGTGTTAAATCAGTAACTAGTTTTTTCAAAGTTGTCTTTTTTGGACTTTGGCTAACAAATCTACTGATAAAATTCTACTGGGATGTGTTTCCGCTACACCAACATGTGCCTGTGCCTCTCATTTAGTCAGTGGCGCACAGAGCCTTGCGGTTTTTACCAAACTTGGTGTTTCACTTGATATGTGCCACAAGATTGAAGTTTTAACTCTACCCCTCTCACTCCCTGGTTGTTTTCATCTCATGTGGTTTATATGTTTATTATTTCCCGACCAAAACAATGATTTGTAGAGAAAGATTTTGTTCTTATTTCTCGTGTCATATTGGAACCTTCTAAGTTTTCACCTTTGTTTAACTTTTGGTGATCAAGCACCCATGTCTGCCTCGTGCAAACTGCTGTGTCAAACTTCAACCTGGTGTGATTAACTTTTCCACTACAGCAATAAGCATACGAGTCTCCCCTTATCTTTGCTTAGTCAATTCGATTATCCTAATTGTGTACGAGACAAATTGTTCCAAATAGTAGTTGCCTCATTGGTTTTTTATTCAATGCCTTATAAAAGTGTTTTGAATGCTTTCTAAACGTTATCTTCTTTTAATTAATGCTAATGGCTGTTATGTTTTTGGTCAAAAAGTTAGTGATATTTTCTTACTTTGTCATGGTTGTAATGTGTACTTCAGGAGGAATGAAAACTGTGGCTAAAATTGTTGCAGAATTTTTTTTGTTGCTTTTTGAGAAGTGTGCTGATGAAGGCTTGTCTTCTTTCATTTTTGCAGATTTTGGAGCTTGGAATTGTATCACACTCCGTAATCATTGGCCTATCACTAGGTGTTTCCCAGAGTCCATGCACAATAAGACCTCTAATTGCAGCGTTATCATTTCATCAGTTCTTTGAAGGATTTGCACTTGGAGGCTGCATCTCGCAAGCACAATTCAAAACTCTACCAGCCACAATCATGGCATGTTTTTTTGCCATAACAACCCCATCTGGAATTGGCATTGGGACTGGCATTTCTTCATTCTACAATCCTTACAGCCCAGCAGCTCTGGTTGTGGAAGGCATCTTAGACTCTTTATCAGCTGGAATTCTAGTTTATATGGCTTTAGTAGATCTAATTGCTGCAGATTTTCTGAATAAGAGGATGAGCTGCAATTTTAGGCTTCAAGTAGTATCTTACTTCATGCTCTTCCTAGGAGCTGCTATGATGTCTTCCCTTGCCATCTGGGCGTAAATTTTAGTATAGAGGTAACTGTTTATTACTTCTTTTTTGCGCGTTTATTTTTATAATGCAACCGGAAATCATAAAATTCTTTATAACCTGTTGTAAAATTTGCAAATCTATATAAATATAATGACAGCAACACCCCCAAAGTGAAGGGAATTGATGGTTCAATCTTGCTAACAACTCTCTTATGTAGTTTGGATGACAGATAATACCTCTTTGGCTTGAACTTCCGCAAGGTAGTTTGGTTTATTAAAACAACCTCCAGACGCGGTAATCGCTGTTTACTCTTGGTAAACCTGTTAAAGCATTCTACTCTTTTCCCTCGTGCCCTGATGAAGCTGCCAGATATTTGAGGTTTATATATTTCATTAGAAAAAAACTGAAAAATTTTCAAAAGTTTAATGATAAATTCATCCAATAAAATAGTTCAATATTAAATTTTGAGGTTTTTAATTTGAGTGCTTCGTATTCTGTTTAAGACCCAAGGTATATAAACGAAAGGAAGATGTAAAAAATAAAGAAAAATGCCGCTTCTAGTTAGATAGAAGCAAAACTTTTCTATATATAAGAAATTAAATTATTAACAATTTTTTAAATTTGAAACTATCAGAATTTGAAAATTTTATATTGAATTAAGGTTCCATTTATTTCGAGAAAATTGACTTTTAAAAACTATTTTTTGAAAACTATTTACATTTTTGGGAAAAATTAAGATTTTTTGTTGTTTAGATAAGTCAATTAAAAATATTATTTATTGTTTGGTTATTTACTGAAAAAATTGCTTTTTCAAATAATATCAATATAACTATTAAAATATTAAAAATTATTTATGATTAAAATATATTGAAGTATTTATTATTAAAATTATTAATATTCAAAATTTATATTTTAATAATAAAATTTAATATCAAAATATTATATTAATCTAAAAACTTAAAATAAAATATTTATTATTTATATTAATATTTTAAAATATTTAAAATGGACCAACTACTATTATTATTCTTAAAATATTAATTTTATTAATATAATAATAAAATAGTAATATTTATTATTAAAATATTAAAAATATTTATACTATTAAAATAATTAGATTTTATAGTGAAAATATTTATTATTAAATCATAACAAAAATATTATTCATATATATTTATTATTAAAGTAATAAATAACTAAAAATATTCATTTTATGAAAATAATATTATTAATATATATTTAATATTAATTATTAATAATAACAAATATTATTTAATATATTATTATTTATTATTAAAATAATAATTTATTACTATTTATTAGTGAAATAATAAAATATTTATGTTTAATAATATACAAAATAGAAATATTTAAAGTTAAAATATCAAAAGATTTTTAATGTTAATACTTAAAATTTTTAAATCAATTTAAATAAAAATATTTTTATTAAATAATAATATTTTGTATTAGATTAAATCAAGTTTTAAGTTTAAAATATTATATTCAAGGTCTTACTTAAGTAGAACAATAAAAATATTATAAGATTTTTAATTAATATTAATTTTTTAATTTTTTACGTAAAATTAAAAAAATTTGATAATATATTTTGGATCAGATTAAATTAAGTCTAAGTTTAAAAAAAAAAATCATGTTCAATGTTGGACTTAAGTAATTGTGCTCACAAATTTGGTAGGTAGTTTTACTCATAAATAATTTTTTTCAAAAATTATTTTCCTTTCGAAAGGGGAAGATAAATTTTTAAAAAATAATCTCATTTTTTATTGATTAGTAAGTTGTTTTTAGTTTATCAACCAAAATTTGACTAAATAAATACCGAAAAATGCAACAATTATTTTTTATAATACAAGTGAGGTCTAAGAGTACAATAATTTATTAATACATTACTTGACTATTGTCAACTAAAAAAAGTTTCATTCTACAAATAGTTTTTTTTCTCTTTGAAGACATTTGTTGTACTTTGTCTACTTGTTTGTTAAGGTTATAAACGAATCAAATATTAATAAACAAATGTATGTCTATAGTTTATTTATTTATTTTAGAGGTATTTAAGCTTATTGTGTTCAACAAGAAATTGCTTTATTCCTTTGAGTTTGATTCATTTAAATGATAAGATCTCTATATTCGATTCATATAGATTAAATAAACTCATTCTTTAATATTAAACAAACATGTTTATAAACATGTATAATATAAATGATTATGTACATAAACAATAAACAATCATAACTAGATAAATAAATTCTAAACGAATATAAACGAATCTAAATGAATATAAATGAATCATAAAATATGATTAAGTAAATAGTAAAAAATAATTTTGTTATTATTATAAACAGTAAATAAATAATAAATTAATGAATTTTAAATGAAATTATTGACAAATATAAACAAATCAAACAAACATTTGTTAGTGTTTGACATGTTTAATAAATAAACATAAAAATATTATTTAGAATTATTTATTAAATTTAATAAAATAAATAAAAATTAAATATATTTAAAAATAATTTATCAAAAATTTTATTCGTTTATACCTCTATTGATCCTAGTGTTAAGATTAAATACAAAATTACATTTTTTTTTCAATTGATTTTGTACTACTCCTAGTCCTGGTTCTTATTTTTGTACTTCATTAGAGTCCATATAACACAACTAAATTTTTTTAACTAATTTCATTAATAATGAATATAAATCTATTCATTTGAAAGTACAAAGGAAAAAAAATTAAAATACTATAAATAAAAACAATGTATCACTTGTTATGGGCATGACAAACTGTAATCTTGAAAATGACTTAAGATTAAGAAAAAAATATAAATTAATTTACAAGCAAATATTAAAAAATCTAAATTATTTAACTATTTAAAAAATAATTCAATAAATTTAAAATTCAACTTATAATATTTATAACATTTTTATTTTTCGATGTTTTTTAGAAATTATTAAAAATAACAAGAACATAAAATTATGGGAAATTCGTATTACTACTACTATGAAGACAAACATTTGTCGGTTAATTGATGACAGGGGCAATCTCGTAAACTTAAAATACAAAAATTGTGTTCATCGAGGCAATCCTTGTCGTTTACCCAACACCAAACAGCCCTTTGGTTGAGCCCATTCTCTCCCTTCAAACAAAGCAAAAGCCTTCCATTTTTTTTTATCTTTCTTCTTACAAATCAAATCTTCCTTCTTCTCCTTCTTCCAAAAATTGACTATTTTGACAAATCTTTTGTCTCTTACTTTCGTCACCTCTTTTGCCCTCTGCTTGCCACGTCACCCTTTCACAAGTACCATCTTACGTGGCACACGTTTGCCTTTGCCAACGTGTCACTTCTCTCTCCCCCTTTCTTCTCTTTATATTACGCGTTTCTCTCCTTTCTTTACTCTCTTCAATTCTCAAGTCCCAACAAAATAAGAAAAATAAAAATTGATGACGCAAGGAGCGGTAGGAGAAGACTTGAAGTCGCCGCAGAATGAACTTTCCGGTGATGTTGCGCGGAAGTTGAACGTCTTGTTGACTGAATCCGATGACGAAAACGAGTTCTCCAATGAGGGTTTGGTTGAAGAAGAGAAACTAGAGGAGATAATGCAAGAGCTTTACAATGAGATAACAACCTCTTCTTCCAACACTTCACCACCGCCAAGGGAAACCTTACCGTCAACGTCGCGGTCGTCTTCTTCATCGAAGCTCTCTTTGTCTTCTCCGCCGTTCTTTGCCGTTAGCGACGTCAAGAGTGAGAGCTGTGGGGCTTCAGTGTCTGACTCATCGTCCACGGTGATGGCTGGCATTGAGTTCGTGGGACCCACCGGGAACTTATCTGACGTAAAGTTAGGGTTACCGGAGAACGAGTTATGGGCAATAGGGAAGGGTTTTGACGATAAGAATCGTGACAATGTAGGAGGAGAAGAGGCAATGGAGGGCTGTGGCGAGGGGGAGGTTGGTGATGATGATCAATGGCTGGAAAGAGTTCTAGGGTGGGGTCCACTGGAACTAGATGACTGGACCTGATCTGAAGCTGATCAGATTGGGATGATGTGATGATCTTTTGAGTCCCATCGATGAAGTTTACCGTACAGAGCGAGCCCTTGTAGCGTAGGGATATAGTGTCCTTGGGGAGGGTCGGTTGTGTCTATGTGGGGAATTTTAGATTATTTGTACTTAACCCTTTTATTTTCTGTTCTCTCGTGGTTGTTTTGGTATCTCTTTATTTTGCAGAGTACTCCAGAACCAGGAAGTAAAACCAGTGATATTTTCTTTTCCTTTTGGTTTCTTTCTTGTCTTTTTCTTTTCATTTCTTTTCATTTCTTTCCCTTTTTCTAAGCTTATCTTTTGTACATTGGTTGAAGCTTTGAACGGGATACTTGCTGAAACAACAATAGGAAACCAATTAAAAATACTTTTAATTTTTTGCATGAATTCTAGCAATGCTCGACTCATCATCACCTCGGATTTCGAGTTCATCTCAACGGGATCCAAAAAGTCATCAGTGATAACTAGTCTTAATTTCTTTATTTTTGTGCCTAATTTGGCACCCAATTGCCTTGTTTTGAAGTACTACGATTGGCTAATAGTGTAAGGGCTCACGGAGCTAGCTAGAAAATGGTCAATTTTTATGTTGCTTTCAGAATGTACAATCTGATGACTATTTCGGGTGAATCACTGGAAACATAAGAGATTTAAATGTCTCGTTTTTTGCGAGTATCTCTGCAATGTATTGAACCGTCTCTCTTTCTCTACTTAACTTTCATGCGTGGGCCAGTAGGGTTCAACTCCAAAAGACTGTAGTCTGCAAATGCTTGTTTGGAGTGCCTGCGTTATAGCAATTTGATAAAGATATTCACCAAAAGAAAATTGGTAAAGATATTTAATTCTCCTTGGTATATACAATATAAACAACTCATTTTGTCTAAAATTTAAATTTTATTTTGTTTTATTTATTATTTATTTTTTTAGTAAAATTTTTTAAAAATGACATATACTTAATTGAAAAGGGATTGTTTAGTTGGATAAAAAATTTTTAAAAAATAAAATTTAATTATAATCCAACTATCAGATAAATTACTTGAAGAGTTTAATCCTAGTTGAGATACTATTTAAACTTAGATTCTCATCTATAGATTAGTTCCAATATATACAAAAAAGTTACAGTGACCAAAGAGGAAAATACACAAAAAATCAAAAGCAAAAATCGAGAAAGCAATCAAGTCCAAATTTTTTAGAAAAATTTCTGGCAAAAATTTTGTTTTAGTTTTGAAAGAGTTTGATCTATTAGCGCCACGACCTGCGAACTTGTTAGGCGACCCGCTCTTAGCTTATTTAGCTCTAGCTGAGCCGAGCTAAGCCAGTAGCCTTGCCATTCCAATTGAGTTTCTTTCTTGTAGTCAAGTTGAGCCATGTGCTGTAGCTCTAGTCGTGCCATTTCTTTATTTGTTGTTATTATTATTATTATTATTTGGTTTTACTTATTATTTTTGTTTCATGTTATTATTTTATTTATTTATATTACGTAAGATTAAATTTTAAGAAAATTAGAAAAAGTTATAACAATAAAACTTTAATAGAATTTGAAAAATAAGTAATAATTAATCGATGATAAAATTTTTTGAAATTATAAATAGTTAATTTCTATAA